TAACGTGCTGTTTTTCTTAAAATTCGATCCTCTTTTAATGACATCCACAAAGGATTGGGTTAGGAAACAAAGAATTTGTGTTTGTCAACTTTTTGATCACTTAAGGAACTCCATCTCAGTAAAGCGGGGGTTTTTAAAACTGTCTTTTTGTTGTAAAGTCTTTTAAATCATCAGTTTATAATACTGGTTAATCAAACAATTGTTGTTGTAGGTTATAATAAATCTGAAACCTTATATATATGATCAACAATGTGTATACATCTGAGAACTAAATATGCTGTGTGTCTGGTTTTGTCTAAATGTTATGTAAAAGTTCATAAAATTAAAGGTACATACATTGAGTGGATGGGAAGTAATCAATAAATGCTCTTTTTTACAATATGTATCACATCTGCACATGAAACATAATATGATCAAGACTTTCAGCATCTGTGCTGTTTTCCCTGGGTATTGCTCAGATGAAAGAATCCCCACAATTTGGCCGGTGTTGCCATTTAAACCTGGCCCACATCTATTGGCTTAGACTGAGCATGCGTTTTGTTATTGTACTGATAATTTACACATCAGGTAATGAAGCACCTGTGGGTCATTAACACTGTTTTCTAAGTGTAGAAGAGGTCTATAGCCATCCTTCGATTTTTTCTTTTTCTGTACTGGGGATCAAACCCAGGACCTTGCACTTGTGAGCCAGGCACAGTGCCACTGAGCTAAATCCCCAGCCCCCTATTCTTTGATTTTTGTCAGTACTGTTAACCTTGAAATTTCACTTCAAAGGTAGAAGCTAAGTTGGAATATGAAGGACTTCTTTGTAGGTATGATGCTAAATATTGTTGGTATCTGTTCCTCAAGTATTCAGATCTTCCAAAAGCCAAAGCTTAGAAGAACAGCTCACCATGTTCATGTCTTCTGATCTGCAGTTGTTGGTCATGATAGATACTAACAGGTTTCTGTTTGTTCCTACTTCTATCATGACTCTTTGAGCAAAAATAATTAGATGTGCCCAAGTACACTGCATTTCAAGCAGTGTCACTCTGGTAATTAAAAGATTAGGGCTTGGTCACCTAAGAGGCACATCTGAGAACAGGACATTCTGTTTTATTTTTGAAACATTTCATTATTTTTCATCAGGATATAGCTTAGTGATAGAGCATTTGTTAAGCATACATAAGACCCTGGGTTCAAAAAATTATTCTTCTGAGACAAAATTTGACAAGAAATTATGTCAATTAATAGTTTGTAATTGGATAAAAGTAATCTATTATTTATAAATTATATTGTAAAATTGTTATTCTTTACAATAAAATGAAAAGGCAAATATATTTTAAAAGATAATAAAAAGTTTAATGGTTGTGATATGATGCTGTAAATCATAGCTATTACCTTTAAATGCTCTATACATTGGAAATAGGTTTTGTTACTTGCTAAACTTTCCTCAGGTTTTAACCATAGTTGCTCTGACTCTTTTGTTATTCATAGCTTGATTATTCTCTACGTCATTTGTAACCAGATTCATAAAAAGAACTCTTAAGAAGTACTGTTAATAGATTTCTGGCAAAACAAAACTTATTTTTGGAATAAATTCATTTCTCATTAAATGTGTTTGATGAACATTAATATTATTTTATTATACTCATTCTTTCAGAGTTATAATAAAAACTGAATGTCTTTTTCTTAGTTTTGTTTTGTATTTTCTCTATAAAACTTTATAACCACTGTCTGTTGTCATTCAGCAGAAGTAGGACATCCTGAGCAATATTTTGAGATGAGAGCTGTCACCTACAGGATAGATAGGCTGTGACCCCCACTAACCCCTATTCAAGGGCAGGGTCATTGTTTTCCAGTCCCACCTTATATTTCAGAGTGTTCCAAAGTCTAGAGAAACACCATAGTGAGCAGTGGAACTCACTCTCCCATTTCAAGAAAGGCGGAACTGGCCTGGTGAGTGTTCAAAAAATGAGAGTGGGAAACTAAAGCCCAGGAAGATTAAAGAGCTAGAAGGACAATCAGTATTTTGCCCCTCAGCCTCCAAGGTTATCCAGGACCCAGGGAAGGACAAAACCACAGAATCCTTTGAAAGGGCTCCTGCAACTCCAGTGAGTCACTTGAGTGGGGAGAAAGAGAGGACCCTAGAAAATAGGAGCCAGCCAGTGTGCAGTGTGTAAGAGGAGGTCACTGGGGAAGGCCATTACCCCAATACTTGCAAGGGAGGCCATTGGTCAGTGAGACCCTGCCCTGTTCTGGCAGATGACACAACTGGTAGAAGAAAAGAACTGAGGGAGCTTCAGTTGCTCTTAATGGGACAAAGGCTGATTTGGACTTACATAGGGTTCATCTACTTAGTCTTGAACACCCAGCAGGAAAGTAAAACTAAAGGATGGAGGAATGGACGGTAATGTGAAACAGAGAAAAAGTGGATTTCCTAAGGCCTTCAGTGCAGAATGGGGATCAAAGAAAGCAAGACTGAGCCTAAAAGGGGCTTTAAACACAAAAGCTGTTGTAAGATCTAGAGATGAAAACACACCAAAGTCCACAGAGTATAGGAATGAAAAAAGGCTGTCTTCTCCCATGGCTGTGGCTCTTAATGTGTACAATTATCTTTGACAGCAATGGGCCAAGTTTCTCTGTTCCTCCAGTCACTCGCCTCCTCCAGAAAGAGACATTAAGTAACAGTCTCACTTACCTTAATAAGTCTATGTAAAAGCTAAAAGATTATTGGCACAGTGAGTTACCTGACACACTTTCCTACTCAACATTTAAAAATTAATGTATACGGTTGCTGTCTGATTTCACATGCATATAGAGTGTAGAGTGAAATGGGCTTATAGACAAGGTACAATGTTGGACCTAAGTAAAATCACATTGCCTTGTCTTCTTTGGTTTCTATCTCTCAAAGGCCCACTTGTCACCATTATACTACTTATTTTGGCCCTTGCTTGTTTGATTTGTTTGTTAAATTTGTCTCTTTCAGACTGCAGCAGTTCCACATAAAGCTGATGGTCATGAGTTGCTTCCAACTATACCTGCCATTGATCCTGAAAGTCAGTGCCTGCCATTGTAGCCTCAAGATCAGGCATCCAAAGATTTCTGTCCCTCCAGTAGGCAGGACCAGCTGCCCCCAACCAACTCTGAAGCAGCTCTAGCAGTTGGACCATCACCCTGCAGTTCCCCTTAAGTCTGAGCAGGATGGAGATCCTAGAGTGAGAAGGGGAACAGGGGAACTGGAAGAACTTTGGAGTAGCAGCCTGATAGAAAAAGAGAGGCAGCTGCCCCTTCTGGAGACAAGGAGGAACATAAGTGAGGCTGTTGATTAACCAAGCAAGCTTTTGTATGCCTTGAGATGAGAAGGTGGGGTGTGGGGCACACTAGGTGAGATGGTGCAAGTGAAGTTGACAACAGGCCTGACTAAGAGCCGACCTTAAATGCTGTTGTAGTCACATTAGGGTACATTTTCGTAGTAAGATGTTCTCCCAGAGCGGGGACACAGCACATTCCTCAGTGCATGTTGGGCCATGTGCAAACACCTTCATAGTAACTAAACCCCATCTTGTCCAGAAACTTTGCTTGTTTCAGAAAAAAACACGGATAATGACATCCTTTGGGACCCCATAAAGTGAAATGGAACCCTTGTTCAGCACTGCTCCCCCTGGAGTAGCTGGCTGCCATGGGGTAGCCAACTTGTCTTTTTTCTGGGGCTTCTGTAGAGAATAAAAGCCCACATACCCCATCCTTTGGTGACTGAATGCACATCAGCAAATCTAAGTCTTGTCCTGATTCCCTGTTCTGCAGCATGCGCAGGTGCGGAAGGAAGTACCAGCTGGATTCTGAGAAGCCTTGGGAAGCCTTGGCTCCTTGCTGCTGTCCTGTCCCCTGACATGGTTTGAGTGTGAAGCCCTGTGGATGGAGGTCATTGTCAGCATCAGCTGCAGGGGAACGGGTGCTCTTTATTTCATTTTGTTTTACTTTTTTTTCTCCACAGAGAAGGTAGCTTTATGTTGATTTTGTGGGCTCTTTAACCCCTTTTTATGATGAACTAATTGCATTGGTTAGAAGCAACTATTCAGTCCTCTGAATTTGCCCTCTAGCCAAGTCTGACTTATTTAGATAATGTAGATGGATAAGCTTCATTGAGCCAAAATGAGAACATTAAACAAATGTTGCAACCCTCACTAGCAACACTGTGACTTGGCTGTCATGTGTTCCACCCCCTTCACTTCAAACAAGACTTTGTGAGCTTTGTGTAAGGTTCATCCAGAAAACTCTGTAAATACTGTTGTAGTGAAAATATTTTTATGATTCTTCTTGCCTTTGTATGGTTTATCTTACTGCTATTTCATATTCCTAATATGACAATCATTTAAAAATTACGACTGATGGACCAACATTGTTTGGACTTCACTATTTGACATACCGCGTGGCATGAGGTTGATTTTGCTAGTTTCTTTTCTCTCATGCAATTTTGATATATTACGGCAGTATTTTCCATAAACTGGGCCTGTGCATGCACAAACACTGCCTGTTTTTCACCTCCTAGAAACTCGCAATAAATGTGTTCATGTTGTCTGATTGGTTAGGTGGTCACTGGTGTCTTCCCACAGTGTTTGAAAATTGCTGTACAGGACAGGCACAGCCAGGAAAGCAGCTGTGACAGACAGATAGGGCTTTCACCTGTGCCACATTTTTGTCCCAATTGTGGGTTGTGAGCTTTTCCTTGGTTTTCTGAAAACTTCACTGGTGTGTCCTATTATCTGATAACCACGTGCGGTCATACCCAGCTCTGCTCCTGGGTTGTCATGTGTCTGCTTTCCTGTCACAGCACAGCAGCCATGAGTCTCTGCTACAAACCATGTGGCACAGGGAGTCACAGGTAGTACTGTCTATATCTTCCTGTGTTTTCTGAGCCCTGAGCTACACCATCCCTTCTCTTGACATCACTTTAATCCTCTCAGATGGAGTTGGATCTGCATGAAAACAACCTGCAGAAATGGGCATTCAGAAAGAACTATTAACCTATTGATTTGAATTTATTTCCAGAAATTTTCCCTTTTCTCTCCCTATATCACAGAGGATATCAAAATGATTTCATACAATTAGCATTCACTCAGTGAGTAGCTTACTCCATTAGATTAGCAGTCGATTAGTACTAACCTGGTGATTTCGATTTTTTTTTTCTTGGAAAGGGATATTCTGCACAGTGTAAATGTGCTTTGGGTCACATTAGGCCATGGTACAAAATGGGACCATGGGTGGAGGTGAGTTGAGTTCACCATTGTTCGGGTTTTTTCTCCGAAATAAACTGTCCATGAGGCCCCCCAGAATCTGGGGGTAACAGAGCCAAGTACACAGGGGTCTCTGCTCCTTCTTCTGGGCTTTTGGTAGCTGAGGGTCCCCCCATGTCAGTTCTCACCCACCCTGGGCAACAGGCATTCAGCAGGATCTTGTCTCCTCCCCTCTCCTCACTCAGTTTCATGGCGTGGATTCTGGACAGGACTGTGACGCCGATCTTGGACACCCCATATGTAGAGTTGGGCCAGCCTTCCTTCTCGTGCACTCCACTGTCTATATCTTCCACAAATTTGTTCATGAGCGCCACCAGCTCCTCTTCAGTGATGGTCTCACTTCGGAACTTCTGCTGCAGCTCTGGGCTGCAGTTCTTAAGGGCTGCAAGGCTCAATGTGCTTGATACGTTTACCACTCTGCCTAAAATACATCACACGTCCTTAAGTGGAGAGGTGTACACAAGTATGGTGAATAACAAATTTGCTGGGATTTTACAGCAGAAAATTTCCATCTCAAAGGCATCAGCAGGAAGGCTTTTAAGAGGAATACATATAGACTGGTGTGGTTGCTTGAGGAACTCCATTCCAGCCTTCAAGTTTTGGGCATGTGTCAGGTAACGTTGAAAACAGCTGCCTTTTGAGGTCCTAATGAACATAATCTGAGAAGTGGTAGAACCTGCTGGGAGGTCAGGATGGGAAACTGGACAGAAGCTGAGAGTAAGGTGTACATGTAAGTTTTCAAACCTAAACCACATTAATTTTTTTGAAAAGTGGCTGGTTGCCTTTATTGGTGTGTTTAATGAGTTGTGGCTCACCTGCTGTCTATGTATGTGGGGAAAGCATTAGAACAGTTTACAATAAAAGAAACACAACATGAAGACAGAACATGTTGATGGGAGGTAAAACGAGCCTGGAGCTAGGCAGAGTCACATTATGGAGATTGCTATGCATGATGCTAAGGGATTGCGCTTTCTCCTGAAGGATTCTGGGTTGGGTTATCTACTGTCTTCTATCTACAGTAGATAGAAATCTGGAAAAGGGAACAACTCAAGGAGGGAGGCCTCTTAGGATGGCTTGAAAGGTGCAGTTTGTAGGGCTGGGATGAGCCAGACCCTGAAGACACTCAGTGGGCACAATCGCAGGACCAGGTAAGTGATTATGAATGCGCAGAGCAAGTGACCAGCAGGCTGCTGGTGCATTCTGAGATGATTTAGGGAGAAGGATGAGCATTGTCCTGATATGTTTGTTTCAGACTGAGGAGCAACAGGAGATGATGGAAAGGCATGCATATGAACATGTGAGGACTCTGGCAGTGTTCTAGCCACTGCGTTTCAGTCACTTTAGGGCAAGTGGTTCTACTGAACTGGTGGCAGTTAGAGGCGACAGAATCCTGAATCAGATCATTGAGCAGGGACGAGGGATAGGATGGAAACCCAAGGACCTCTAACACACGAGTGGACAGAATTTACAGTTTGTGTGAGGAGACCTTTGACCCAAGACTTGAAGGAGCAGGAAGCAGCAGAAGCAAAGAGCAGGGAGACAGAGAGCACCAATGGCCAAAGAAGTGAGGACAAAGCAGCAGATCCGAACCTGCAGGGTGGAGACACTGCAAGGTGGCTGGTGCACTGGCAGCTGCAGAGGGAGAGGAGGCAGGGCTTGGAGATGAGGTCCCAGCAGGTGGGGCCAGGTCAGCACCAGACTCACCCTGGGGTCTTATGAGAGGGAGCAGCTCCGCGCTGACATTCAGGATACCAAAAAAGTTTGTTTTCATTGTCACTTCCGCTTGAATATGATAGGGTGTGGGATCTCCCCCTTTTTGGAGAGAAAGACAACAGATTTAATGAATGCTACCCTTGGGGTGGATTTCATTTTTTAAAAAAACAAACAGTGTGTATGAAGTCTGCTCACTTCCAAGGAAGTGTGGGTTTACAGGGTTGTGCCAAGGTCAGTCTCCTGGTTTGACAATGTTCTATTATTTCTGCAATATGGCAACGTAGGAGGCTGGGTGAGGTTTGCCTAGCAGTGTCTTGGTGTCTTTTGTTTATTTTGAAATCAGTTATAAACTGACCCAACTGACCTAAACCTTAATCACACATAAACTATGTTCCAGAATCTAGGTTGGGCAAACAAGGCCTGGAACCACTCCAGCCCTTGCGAGCTCTGCTTTTGCTGCAGCCCAGCCTCATATTCCTCCTAGGGAGCCTGTACTGCACCCCAAACGACTGAGGGGCCCCACCCCAGCACTGCCTCCGCAGGCACAGCCACCCTGTGGGCACCCCAACCCCTTACTCTGGAAGGCGATGCCTGCGTTGTTGACCAGCACGTCGAGCCCCCCGTACTCCTTGCGCAGGAAGTCTCGCACAGCGCGGATGCTCTGCAGGTCGTCGATGTCCAGCTGGTGGAAGCGCGGGCTCAGGCCCTCGGCCTGCAGCTGCTGCACCGCCGACCGGCCTCGCGCCTCGTCCCGCGCCGTGAGCACCACGTCCCCCGAGAACCGCCGGCAGAGGTCGCGGGTGATGGCGAAGCCGATGCCCTTGTTGGCCCCGGTCACCAGCGCTACGCGGGTGCAGGACATGGCTGCAGGCAGTAGCTGGAGGAAGGAGCGTGGACAGAAGACCGAGGCAGTCGGAGCTGCACTGAGTGTCGGAAGGGCAAGGGCGGAGGGCGCAGGCGCAGGCTCAGGCCCCGCCCCTGGCCGGGCATCGCTCTCGGGGAGGTGGGGCGGAACCTCCTGTGACTGTCAAAGTCAACCCTGAGCTCAAGGGCTCCGCTCTCAGTGACAGGCTTTAGGGTTTCTAAAAGTGGCTGCGGACTTAATGAATGTTGGTGCATCTGCGCTCATTCCTCGGGCAAGTATTGGAGCCGTTTCCAGGGTAAGAAATACGATAGTTTGTTGCGTCCACGTTGTTAGGAAATGAAAATGAGCCAGGAGTTAGCGGGGCCAAAGCAAAGAGATCCTCAAGAACTAAGGGCTTGAGCTTTCTCCTGAGGGAGTTCTGGGAGAGAAGTACACAGGGCAGCAGTATGCAGAAATCTGGGAGAGGAAAAGCCTCAAGAAAAAGTGTTAGGGGATCAAATTTCCTCTGATTTACCGTCTAAGTAATTAAAGTAAAGCTATTGGTGTATCCTTGCCCGGTTTTCCAGGAATGGCGGGGAACATTTACTGAATCACTCGGGAGTCAGTACTCCTGAGCACCGGGAAAGACCTTCGTGGACTTGTGCTCAGAAAGATTAAGAAGTTGTTTCAGCTGTGGGACATGAAATTTTCCTCCCTGTTTATTACTTGCAACAATACAATAGGGACCATAAAATCAAATTTCATTTCTGTGCCGTCTCCTAGACACTGGCCGCAAATGGCCTTTTAACTCTAAATTTAACTTGCAATTAATGCAGTTACAAAATACAGTCTTTGATGAAGTGGCCACCATGTTGGGTAGTGTAGATGAAGGATATTTCTCCATCGCTGGAAATGATTCTCTTGCACAGCACTGTTTTACATAGATTCCAATGATGTTGCCAATTCAAAGTGAGTTTTCAATCAGGTTCATAAATAAAAGTTACTATAGGCTGGGGATTTAGCTCAGTGGTTCTGCCGCCTGCCTCAAATGTGCATGGTCCCCAGTTTGATCCCCACTACAAAAAAGAAAAACAAAACCTAAAGAGAACAGAGTAGTTGGAGGCAGGACAAGAGTGCTTCCCTGCCTTCATAAATAAAAGTTACTGATCAGGAAAAGACCCTTGCTTCTTTTCCACTGAAGTGTTTATTAAGACATTATAGATTCACATGCAGCTGTAAAAAACAGTTCAGAGATTCCTTACACTTCACAGTTTCTCTCCATTTGCAAAATCCATTACAATATCACAATTATATATTGACTACAAAATAATCCACCCATCATCTGTTTCTCCCATGTCCTCATTGGTATGTATGCAGCCCTCTACCACTGAGCTGCATCTCTAGTCTTGGGTATTTGTTCTGTTGTGTTTGTTGGGAACCCTCAAAACATAGCAGTGGGTCTGGGTCCTGAACAGTTTGAGAAATGAAACTGAGGGATAAAGATTCAGCCTCCAGATCTTCCATAAAATGGCCAGTGCTAAGTTGGTAGAGGGTTTTTCTCTTTTCTGCTTCCTGATGGACCCTGGCTCTTCCCCACATGTTCCAGCATAGTATGAGATGTCTCCTCTCTTGGGAAAGTCAAGTAATAAACTCTTCAAATTATCTTCATGTCTGTCTTTTAATACTATCTGATCAAAAGAAATCCTGGGTACATTTTAATCTGTATGGATGAACTTTTAAAAAGTTATGCTATGAAAAAAAAGTTAGGCTGTGTAAAAGAAGCCAGTAACAGGTAACACATATTTTGTGATTTCATTTACCTAAGTTGTTCATTGCATTGACATGAAACTGTCTATAATAGGCAGCTCTTGTCCTTTTATCATTTTCAGGAATGTCACCTCTCCTGATATAAGAATTATATACATATATATATATATATATATATATAGAGAGAGAGAGAGAGAGAGAGAGAGAGAGAGAGAGAGAGAGAGAGAGTCCACCAAAAAATGTATACATACTTCAGGAAAAGAAAAAAGCCCCAAATATCTGGAAGATAATGGCCACTGATTTGAGGACCTCTTGTAACTGAAGAGACCACAGGTAACTTGTGTTAATCTTATGATGTCTCAATAAATTTAGTATTAAAATATTTCTACAAGATTTTCTTTTCCTGAACCACATATATATATTCCTTAAGAAAAATATAGCCGGACAAATCCAACTCTTTAGTGATTGTCCAGGTTTTGGCTGCAATTGATTTCTAAGTAAATTCCATTGTGAACACAGAACTTAATGTGTTTGGCTTGAATCCTATTGGAAGGGCTTGAAAAGCTGAGAGATGTTAGGGCATGTTTTATTTAAAATGTGCTGGAGGAGAGAAAGTGAGTAGATGATTAGAAGAACAAAATGCCTGGATGGACCCAGCACCCAGCCATGGTCGGGCCTGGGAAGCAAGCATGTCTCCTCTTGTAACAGAGGGAAGGCCACCTGGGAGGGTCTGGACACAAGTGTGTGGGGTGGGTCTCCTTCAGGACATCTGATCAGCCAGACGGATTAGTTTGGGGGATCTGAGGGAAGAATAGCATATTGTCGAGTGGGAAAATGAATGTATTGGGGAATGAGGCAGCACTGGCTAGCAGAATAGATGGCACACTTAAGATTGTGATTATAAATCTCAAGAACCCAGTCAGCCCCCTGGGATTCCTCCCTGGCCAGGGGTCTCCTCTGCTAGTGTGCAGGGTGTGGGGGTCCCTTCAGTGGGGTGGTGTTATCTAGCCTCATACAAGCTTGAAGGGTGTTTGCACGAGAGGAGTTACAGCATTCAGCTGTGGCTCAGGTCATGCTGAGGTATTCTGTATTTCTTAATAAATTATGGTAATCAATAGGTATGTAAGTGTTGTCCTGTGTAGTAGTGATCTAATTACCTTTCTTTACACTAGGAAAGCTCCAGTCTTGTCTGCATTTACGGTTCAGTCCAACATTTCCTTACTCCATAAGTATGTGTCCTTAGCTTTTCCTTTCAACTGACTCTATCTACCTGAGTACCTCATGTCATGAGAATCATCAATATGAGTATATATTTATCTGTGCATCAGTGATAATTTTGTCCTTTGGGGAAATTTTATTTTAGTAGAAAGTACCTGTCCTCCAGCTAAAAAGTAAATCCTTAGTAATACAGGTGGAATACACTGTGTGTCCTCAACTCAGAAATAACCAGGTACTTAAATTTGAAATGGTGTTTTCTTTTGCATTCTTAAAGAAGTTAGGTGTTATTAAGGTGGTAAAAAAAAATCACTGCAATTGAACTGTGCATGTCCAGGCTAGCAGTGGAAATACTATAATCTTGATGTACACATTTTGATACCTTGTTGGTGTCTGTTTACAGAAATAATGAGAGAGTGAACAGTCCGATTGAAAGTTGAAATCTGTAAGTAAACGTCACTGTTATTATAAAGGCCCCACCTTGTTTTCAGGGGTGGTAACTGTTCATGTCTATAAGCCTGGAAATGGCTGGTGGAGAGACAGAAACAGCATGGCAGTAGGGGCCTTGCAGAGCATGTGGCAGTCCTGCCCGAGGAAGGGACTCAGGACACATTGCCTGATACCCACTGCAGCCCAGCCGGGTGGTGGGCAGTGAACTTGTGCTGCTCCTGACACCAGACAGTGGTGTTAGCCGGACACTGGGCTATGTATCAGGCCTGTTTTTAGCACCTTATGTCAAGAGATGTCATCCTGGGGCTATTGTTCCCATGTGACAGTTAAGGAGGCTGGGGCACAGCAAGAGACAGTCATCCTGCCTGTGGTCATGCACAGCCAGGATTTTGTACCTCAGTTTATATCATTGTTTTGTTTAGTTTTGTTTTCCCAATGCTTTGTGTGGAACACAGGGCTTCACAGATGCAATGGAAATATTCTCTCATGAGCCACCCTCAGTTTCTCCCCATGTATTGAAAGCTATCAACGAAAAGGAAGGTGGAAAAACGTAGACACCAAACATGCACCAATGCTCTGAAGTTGTGAACACTGTTATCTTGTTTGCTTCCCTGTATGAATTTGGCTGAAACACGGGTGTTGATTTTTATTTTTAATAAAGGTCCCTCTTGAGGGAGACCTGGAACCCCGGAAAGCACTGACTTTTAACGAAAGAAAAGGAGACAGTCTGGGGGACGAACAGCAGTTTAATTCCTCTATCACCATTCGACAATCACAAAGGAAAGAAGCAAGGCTTTTATACACGTAGGAAAGCAGCTTAATTATTCTGGCTGTCATCTTTCTGATTTTAACCTCTGGTGACAAATGACTTTAAGTGACTCATAAAAGCTACAGGCAAATTCACAAGTCCCCTGTTTCCATTCACCAATCCTGTACATCAAAGAGCACACCGCAGCCCTCTTCTTATCAGATAGTATCAAGAGAACAGGACGATTTAGGCCAAAATCAAGCCCACTAGCCCACCACAAACATCACAGATGTGCATAGTGAGTCGTATCTCTCTTACCACCCGTAGAGTCATTGGGAAGCGGTCCTCTGATCCTGGAAAACGGTAAATAGGAAAACCTGTTTTTCTCCTTCGAGACTTTTACAAGGTCTCAAAGTTTTCTGGCATTCTTTTAACAAGCAGACTTGTGGAATTTCCCAGAAACGACTTAATTCTCTTAGTTAACAAACTTCTTGTGATCTATTCTTACAACTAGATAGCTGAATTCTACCACTTCCCACACACGAGAAGACTGCAGCCCTCATGACACTGCATCCCTATGTAAATAACACTCAGACTGAGAACTTCAGCAATCATTTTCTCATCTCAGAGTCCCAATGGCCAAGTGTTCTACACAAGCACCTCTCATACTTCACACACTGCCATTGGTTGTTTTCCACAACGAATAAGACCTTTTCTAGAAACCAGGCCTCTGTAGTCATTGTGTTGTCTGTGTTTTCTGAGGGTCTGATGAACCGAAACCCACGACCTGAATCCAGCTCTGCTCCCGGGTTGTCACATGTGTCTGCTTTCCTGTCACACCATGGCAGTCCTGAGTTGCTGCTACAGACTGCATGGCCCACAGAGCTGTAGATGGTACTGCCTGGCTCCTTCTGTGTGCGTCAACCCCTGAGCTACACTGTCCCTTCTCTGGACCTCACTTCATGGTGATTGTACCTCTGAGATGGAGGTGGCTCAGCATGAAAACAACCTGCAGAAAGGGGCATTCAGAAAGAACCATTTGTTTGGCTATTGATTTTATTCATTATTTCCAGAAACTTTACATTTTCTCTCACTATATCTCAGAGGAAACCCTAAGAGACATAGAATTAATGATGACTCAGTGAGTATGCTATTCTATTAGTAGTCAGCTAGTACTGATTCCCTGATGGTGATGTTTGCATTTATTTTTTGTATATGGATATATTGGACAGTATAAATTTCCTTTGGGTCACATCAGGCCATGGTACACAATGGGGCCATGGGTGGTATGAGTCAAGTTTACCACTGTACAACACTTTTGTTACGAACAAACTGTCCATGAGGCCCCTCAGAATCTGGGGGCAGAAGGGCCAAGTACACAGGGGTCTCTGCTCCTTCTTCTGGGCTTTTGGTAGCTGAGGGTCCCCCCATGTCAGTTCTCACCCACCCTGGGCAACAGGCATTCAGCAGGATCTTGTCTCCTCCCCTCTCCTCACTTAGTTTCCTGGCATGGATTCTGGACAGGACTGTGACTCCTATCTTGGACACCCCATATGCCGAATTGGGCCACCCTTCCTTCTCCTGCACTTTATTCTTTGTGTCTTCCATGAACTTGTTCATGAGCCCCACCAGCTCCTCCTCAGTGATGGTCTCACTTCGAAATTTCTGCTGTAGCTCAGGGCTGCAGTTTGGAAGGTCCACATGAATCATTCTGCTTGACACATTTACCACTCTGCCTGAAATAAGTCATAAGTACTTAAGGAGAGAGCTGCTGGTATGGTTTGGGTCTAGATGTCCCCTCAAAGCCTCATGGGTGGTTGAATGTAGAGTGTGTGATGCTGGGATTAAGGGTGTGTGATGACTAAATCAGTACACTGGTTTGGCACCACCGCAATCCTAGTAGCCTGGATACAATATAAAGGACAGAAAAGGGCTTATATTTTTCCTGTTGCTTTTGCAGTCTTCTGAGCAATGAACTGTTACCCCCCTGCCGTGTGCCACCTGGCCTTGGAGCTAACCCATTATGCTACAAACATGAAGCTGCTACAAACATTCAGCTAAATAAACTTTTCCACCCACTTTTGGGTGTCAGGTATTTTGTCTCAGCAACAACAGAAAAGTAACTAAGGCAGAATTTGGTACCGGGAAAGGGAAGTTTAAAATTTGTCACAGATTGCTGGGGATGCTCGAAGTGGATTTAATGTTTGCCCTGCTGGATTTTGGACCTGCTTCGGTCCCATTTTTTGTATCCCCCTCTTTGTAACCTTTGGAATGGAAATGTCTATCTTCTGCCACTGAATGTTGGAAGTGTTCAACTTTCTTTTCATTGGTACAGGGGCTTGCAGCTATGAGTTTGCCTTTCATCTCAGGGGAGGCCTTGGACTTGTACTTTTCAGCAGTTCTGAAAATGTTAGGACTTTGGCAACTCTTAGAAATTTTGCATAAATGGATGGGCATGAGTCTTTAGGGGGGACCAGGGGCAGAATATTATGGTTTGTATCTAGATGTCCCCCAAAGCCTCATGTGATCATAGGGCTTGTGGAGAGGTGGCTGAATCTAGAATGTGTGATGCTGGGATTCCGGGTGTGTGATTACTAAATCAGTACAATGATTCGATTGGCTTGACACTAATCCTGGTAGTCCGAATACGTTAAAAGGGGCAGAAAGATACTGTTAAGGGCCCTTATTTCTTTGCTGGCTTCAGTCCACAATGAGCTATTGTCCCTCTGCCCTGTGTCACCCTCCTTTGGAGTCAGCTGATTATAGACTGAAGCCTCTAGAAACTGTAAGCCAAATAATCCTTTTCCCCTTTAACTTTGGGTGTTGGGTATTTTGTCTCAGCAACAAGAGAAAAGTAACTAACACAGTTGTACACAAAAATCATAAAAAATGTGTTATATGGCGCATCTTAGTGGGAAGGTAAAATGAGCTGGGAGCGAGGCAGGGGAGATTAAGGGCATCCCTGTGGACCATGCTGAGGGCTTGGGCTTTGTGGTGAAGGAGTTTTGGGAGGGGAGTGGGCAGACAGACGGTGTGCACAGCTCTGGGAAAGGAAAGTCCCAGGCAGAGAGGAAGCTTGGGAGGGGTTCAGTTGTGCATTTTCATAGCTGAGGGTCTGTTGTAGGGCTTGGATGAGAAGGATTCAGGAGACACTCAGTGAGAGTGCTCTTTACATAAGTGACTAGGGTAGGGCATGGTGACCACCATGACACAGTGGGGGTTGTAGGGCACAGGATGAGCATCTTCTGAAAATGTCTGCTTATGACTGAAGGACATGAGGAGGAGTTGGAGAGCAGGAAAATGAGTATGTGTGGGGATCTCTGGGAGTGTTCTAGGCAGATGACAGATTTTATGGGGCGGCTGTAGTGACCTGGAGGGAGAGATGGCTCAGGTGGCCTGAATAAGATCACTCAGCAGAGGGGAGCACAGGCAGGATGGAATCCCGAGGGCCTGGAACGTGAGGGGCTCTGTCCTTGGAGATGTGAAGGATAAAGGAAGAGGCAGGTATGGAAGGAGCAGCAGGACTAGAGCATCAGTGGCACCTGGTAATTGAGGACAAAGCAGCAGCCCGCACCTGCAAGGTGGAGACACTGCAAGGTGGCTGGTGCACTGGCAGCTGCAGAGGGAGAGGAAGCAGGGCTTGGAGATGAGGTCCCAGAAGGTGGAGCCAGGTCAGCACCAGACTCACCTTGGGGTCTTATGAGAGGGAGCAGCTCCGTGCTGACATTCAAGGTACCAAAAAAGTTTGTTTTCATTGTCACTTCTGCTTGTATATGAAAGGGTGTGGGATCTCCCTCTTCTAGAGAAGAAAAGGAACATAGTAAACAGTTGCCATTGGTTGTCTCTTCATGCCACGGATTGTTTTGCTGTACAGAAACTTTTTAACCTGAAATAATCCCATTTGTTGATTCTTTCTGTAATTTCTTGTGCAGTTGAGGTTCTGTTTAGAAAATCCTTTCCTACACCTTTCTTTTCTTTTTTTTTGGTACTGGGATCAAAGTCCGGACCTTGTGCTTGCCAGGCAAGTGCGGTGCCACTGATCTAACTCCCCGGCCCTTATACCTATGTTGTCAAGTGTTTTACCTATTTTATCTTCCAGAAGGTTTAATGTTTCGGTTTTAACGTTTAGATCTTGATCTATTTTGATTTTAACTTAGCACATGGTGAGAGCTAAGGGGCCAGTTGCGCTCTCCCACAGATACCAGTCTCCCCAACACCACTGGTTGAATAGGCCATCCCTCCTCCCATGTATGCTTTGGCCCCTTTGTCAAAGATCAAATCGTTGAATGTGTCGGTAGAGGTCTGTAACGTCAGTAGTGTTCCATTGATCTACGTGTCTGTTTCTGTTCCAGTACCATGCCATTATTGCTTTCTAGTACAGTCTGAAGCCTTGTATTGCTATGCCACCTGTTTTGCTCTTATTGTCTACAATTACTTTTGTTATTCCAGGTCCCTGGTTCCATATGAATTTTAGAATTTTTTCTCTCCAGATCTGTAAAGAAAGCTGTTGGTATTTTGATCGGGACTGCAATGAATCTGTATAACAGTTTTGGAGGTATAGCTATCCTGACAACAATGGCTCTGCGTATCCAGGAACGAGGGACATCTTTCCATTTTCTGATGTCCTAGAGACACCCTACACAGTGGAAAATTTTTTTTGCCATTTATGCCTCAGACAGAGGACTAATATCTAGAATATACAAAGAACTCAAAAAAATTAAACCACCTAAAATAAAAGACCCAGTCAAGAAATGGGCTAGAGGAATAGACAGACACTTCATAGAGGAAAAAATGCAAATAAATAGCAAATACATAAGAAAGTATTCACCATCTCTGGCCATTAGAGAAATGCAAATTAAAACAGCACTAAGATTCTATCTTACTCCGGAAAGAATGGCTATCATTAGGAAATCAAACAATAACAAATGCTGGGGTGGGTAGGGCAAAAAGGAATCCTCTTGCATTGTTGGTAGGATTGCAAACTCGTTACTACCATTATGGAAATCAGTATGTAGATTTCTCAAAGATTTGAAATTAGAAATTCCACAGGACCCAGCTATCCCCCTGCTAGATATCTTCTCCAAAGAGCTTAAGGCATCATACTACAGTAATACTTGCATACCTATGTTCATAGCAGCACAATTCCTAATAGCTAAATCCTAGAAGCAGCCTGTATACCCATCAACAGATGATTGGGTAAATAAAATGTAGTGTCTGTATATTATGGAATACTACATGGCTATGAAGAATGACAAATTTGAGCCATCTTTAGGAAAATGGATGCACCTAGAAAATATAATATTGAGTGAAATAATTCAGACACACAAGGTTAAATATGGTATGTTATCTCTCATTTGAGTGAGGCAAAGTACAAATGAAGAAAATGATAAAGGTTGGCTACAAAGGGACAAGGGGACAGATCTCATCCAACAGAGAACAAGAGAACAAGGAGAGGAGTAAGGAGGACGGGAAGGGGAAATGAGAGGAGTAAAGGAGTGCCATGTACATGACCCTAACAACTCCAACCAATGTAAACATCTATGCCATAGCAAGAACTAAGATACGTCAAGTCAAAAAGTATGAAAACAGTGATAAGGGAACCAGAAGAGGAGGGGAGAGGAGAAGGGAAGGGGAAAGGGGATTAGAAAAAGAAAACAAGCTGTAATGTGTACAGACAACCACTCCCCAAGGTGACTGTAAACTACAAGAATTGCAAACATGTACTAATTAAATAAAAGTTTATTTGATTTAATGTAATTTATTAAAAAAAAAAATAAACAGTAGTCATGGGGTGGAATTTCACAGAAACAAAATAGTGTATGTGAAATCTGGTCACTTGGGAGGACATTTGGTGTGTAGCCAGTGTTGTCAGGGTCCTGTTCTGGTGTGACAGTGCCTTATTATTTTTGTAAGACGGCATCGTTGGAGTCCAGCACTGTCCTGCTGTAATCTCCTCGTTCCTTGTTTATTTCAGAGTGAATAGAAGGTCCACCCAACTGCCTTAACCTCCCCTCATATAAACTTTGTGTGAGGAACATCTTAAAAAGATCCCAGAATCCCTGACAGGCAAACCAGACTCAATAGCCTGGAACCACCCCACTCCCCCACCCTCAGGGCTGTGCTTTTGCTTCAGCCCCAGCCTCTCTTGCTCGCTGGGAAGCCTGTTCTGCACCTCACAGCCCCTACAGACTCAGTCCACCTGGGCTGGAGTCTCAGGGAGGCCACCTCCCCTCTGCACACCCAGGGTCCTTACTGTTGTAAAAGATGCCCGCATTGTTGACTAGCACGTCGAGCCCCCCCCCCCCCCCCGCCCCGTACTCCTTGCGCAGGAAGTTAGGGTTAGGCGCCGATGCTCTGCAGGTCGTCGATGTCCAGCTGGTGGAAGCGCGGGCTCAGGCCCTCGGCCTGCAGCTGCTGCACCACCGCCCGGCCTCGCGCCTCGTCTCGCGCCGTAAGTACCACGTCCCCCGAGAACCCCTGGCAGAGCTCTCGGATGATGGTGAAGCCGATGCCCTTGTTGGCCCCGGTCACCAGCGCCACTCGGCGGATGGACGACATGGCTGGGAAGCAGCGCTGGGCACTGTGCGGGAGAGAGGATCCTGCAGATGCCCTAGGTCCAAAGTGCATTGGGTGGGGATCTGGGATCTTGAGCACTGTCCAGGCTTTGGAGCACAGGCTCAGGCCCCGCCCCCGACGGCGTGGCTCTTCAGAAACCCTGTGGGTGCAGAGCTTTAGAATGTTGACTTTTAGCATAAACCCTGCTTTAAGCGCCCAAATCTCAGCCACGGGTTTCAGTTTTTCTAAAAGTGGCCACTTGTCTTCATTCGCGTGTATTTAATGACTGGTTCACCTGTTGACCCCTTCCTTGGGCTGTACTAGAGCAGCTGACAGTGAGAGAAACACCATAATGTGTTACGTGCAGCGTGTGACGCCTGTTGGTGGGGAGGTGAAAAGAACCTGCAGGTAGCAGGATCAGGCCATGCACGGCCCAGGGCTTGGGCTTTGTCCTGAGGGAGTCTTGGGAGGGATACAGCCAGGCAGACTGTGCAGAGCCCTGGGAGAGGGAAACAGGCTCAAGAAGTCAGGCCGGGACTTTGCCACACTTCCCAGTCAGGGCTGCTGGCTGCGGGCAGCAAAGAACCATTGGCCTTGGCCACTGGATTAGTTCTGCATCCACCCCTCGTTCCTGGGTCTCTGAAGTTTGCTTGGTATTCCCCAGCTGTCCAACTATCCGCAGTTGTGCCTGAAGACATGGATCTTGCATGGGCTTTTTCCCTGGTTTTTTAAGGATTAGCACTGCAACTCAAGCCATTGGAACCAGAGTTGTGGAATGCTGTCAGAAACCAAGAGGGGATGAAATGCCTGTTGATTTTCTCCACAGGAAATGACAGCAAGCTTCTGGCTCATCCCTTACCAGGTTTTCTGAGAATGGCGGGGACACTTGCTAAGTCATCCCAGGGTTACCCGTCTGGGTACGGGCAAGGCCTTCATGCAGCTTGGGTTTGAGAACTGCGGTGTACAGGTGGGAGAGGGCATCATGGCTTCTTTTGCCCTCTGAATAAGACATCAGGAGCCCTCTCCCTCTGTTAGTATTGGGGATTTGCCTGAGAGGCACTTTGCCACTGAGCTAAGTCTTGCTAAACTGCCAAGGCTGACCTCAAACTTATAATCCTCCTGTTTCATCCTTCTGAGTATTTAGGCCTACAAACATGTGCCACTACCCCTGGCTCAGGGTGCACATTTTTGTCTTAATTTTAGAATGAAATAATGGAAGTATGCTCAGAAAATTTATGAACTGATTCATTGGCGGGAAATGAGTTTTCTGGCTGCTTACTCCTATACCAAAACAACAGGGGACTGGCCGCAAGATCAAGTTTCATTTCTGCGTTGACATATAGGTAGCGATTAGCCACATGAGGCCATTTAAATGTCAACTTAATGAAAATTCATGCAATTACAAAAGTCAGTCTTGAGTTGCAGTAGTCACATATGAGGCACTCAATGTTTCCACGTTGGTGGCCACTGCACTGGGCAGGGCAGAGGTGAGACATTTCCATCTTTGGAAAAGATTGTTTTGCACAGTGCTGCTTTACAAAGATATATTTCCAATCTAGTTCTTAGAAAAATAATACTTATCAGGAAAAGACCTTCGCTTTTTTTCAAGTGAAATGCTTATTGATACAAATTCATCTGCAGTTGTAAGAGAATACATTCCTTACACTTCAGTTTCTCTCAATTTACAAAAGTGCAATCAAAATTTATGGGTATCATGGGATGCATGTTCATAACATGGCAGCATTGCATGATCTGAGTGGGGAGATCTCAATGGGTCACACCCATAGGACACTAGCACACAAAAGTGTGTGCTTTTTTTTTTTTTTTGTACCGGGGATTGAACTTGGAACCTTGTGCTTGTGAGGCAGGCGGCAGCACCACTGAGCTAAATCCCCAGCCCAAGTGTGTGCTTTTCACAAAAGCAACTTTTGAGTGGTTAAAAAACGACTTAGCACAGGATATCATAATCCATATTAGAGGTATCATCTACAGCAAAGTTAGTAGGAGATTAAGAACATTGACTCAGCTATGTGACCTCCAAACCCCAACCCTAACCCTATCCCCCCCCCCAAAAAACATAGGAAGACAGAGTCTCAAACAATAATTAAAATAAAAGCTAACTATTGCAAGTAACTAAAACCAAATGAAACAAGAGGGTTTATTTTTGTTTTTAGTTTCACTAGCATATGTAAAAGATTGCATTAACAATTAATTTGGGAAAAATAATTGTTCCAAAACTGGTACTAGAGAAAGGGAGTAATGCTTGGAATGAAAAATTTATACCAAGTAATTTCTAAATGATATACATGAAAATTGCCTTTTAAATGCAACTATTAAACTATAAGTGAGGGTTACATTTTTAATTTGGTTATATTTTCTATAAGAATAGCAGAGCGATTCTGTAAGAAAGAACTGACAGATTTAACAACTGGAAACTTTGAATATTTGTTTTTGGAAGACACCATAATGTAAAGCCTCTGAATAAAGCTCTACTTTGAGGATTTATATCTTTTTCTTCTATAACATTTGGATGTAGACTCTTTCGGGTTGATTGTTTACATGTTAGTTTTCTTGTTAAGGTTGAAGATTTCTTTTTCTGTTTTTCTTTTCCATGGTTGGAGATTAAACCAAGGGTCCTTTCCCATCCTAGAAAAGCCCTCTATCATTGAGCAATATCCCCAGCCCTGGGTATAAGTTCTGATGTGTTTGTTAGGGATGCTTAAAACATAGCACTTGTTCAGAGCTCTACATGATTTGAGGAAAAAAATACAAACAAGGGAGCAATGTGAAGGCCCAGATCTTCCTTATTACTGCAGATGGTTAAGTTGCTAGAAATTACTTACTGGTTTGAGTCAATGTTGTGTAACTAGTTTGAGTCAATGTTGTCTTGACTGGTATACGCAGAAATATTTTATTCCATCTATTAGTTTGTGGAATAAATTTATGTCTGTGTTACCTACTAATCACAAGAGTTATTTAATTTATCTTAAAGAACAGGGTTCCATGGTGTCTACTGAAACATGACAGAAATGAATGTTAAATCACGAATTATGAAGCTCTCAGGGACTTTCTATTTTTGTGAACCAAAATTCAGAGAACTGAATTTGACCCTGTCTTTTTTCATATTTCATACTGCTTAACAAATTCAATAAGCTTTGCTGGAGCATCGTGTCCTAGATCAGTGGCTTAGTAGTTATGAAACTCTAAGCAACTTAATGTTGTCAAGATAAAGCAAGCCCAACTTAAAACAGCAAGTTCAGAAGTTAATCTGTAATGAGCCATTTCTTTAGGGACAAGGTCCAGAGTGAACTGAATTCCACTGACCCTTGTACAGTGATGACTGTGCATTTTCAAGGCAGAGTCAGGCATCAGGATGGGTGGGTGGGAGCTTCAGGGGTTAGGAAGTGAAAAGTTTCAGAGTGTCATTCAGTGTGAATGTCAGTTGTGTCTGTAAACTGACAATTATCAATAGGAAGATCCAATCTTCTCTACTGCAGAAAAGATAGCTGTCACTAAGGACTCAAAAAAACAACAAGTGCTGCCCAAGGCTACAGTGGAAAAGGAATCTTTCTACATTGTTGGTTGATGTCTTAATTACTTTTCTCTTAGCTGAGACAAAATACCCAATACCCAAAATTAAAGAAGGAAAGGTTTATTTAGCTCACAGTTTGTAGAGGTTTCAGTCCATAGTTAGCTGGCTCCAAAGCAAGGCATGGCAGAGGGGCATCGTAGAGGAGAAACATTCCGTGCTATGAAGAAGGCAGAAGGCAGCAAGGCAGCAAGCGACAAGCAGCGACCCTCTTTCTGTACATTATATCCCATCCAGGCTATCCACCCTTAAGGCAAGTGGCACTCACATCCAGGGTGGGCCTTCCCATTTTCCATACTCAGAACTATGCCAAACCTAAGAGTAGAATAATTTAGTAATCACGCCCTTAATCCCACCATCACACACTCTCTATCCACCCACCTCTGAAAAGCCCAATCTATGACTACATGAGACTTTAGGGGGATATCTAGTCACAAGCCATGACCGTGGGTATGTAAACTAGTACAACCATTATGGAAGTCAGTATGAAGAATCCTCAAAGAACTAAAACTGTAATCAATCCCAGCACTTAGGAGACAGGAGGATCACCACGAGTTTGAGGTCAGCCAGGAATACATAAGTGAGACCCTGTCTCAAAAAACAAGACAAAATAAAACAACAACAAACAATCCTTAAAAATACAAATTCCATTTGACCCAGTTTTACCTCTTTTCAGTAACTCTTCCCCAGAGTTAAAGTCATCATATTACAGTGATACGTGCATGCATACTGTATTGGTCAGTATTTACTAGAGAAACATATAATACAAGACATACAAATATATATGAATTTACAAGATTGGTTTACAGAGTTGGATGCGGAAGAGTGCAGAGGGTTTAGCCAAAGGTCTGGAGCTCACTGAAGTGACCTGTGTGAATCCATATCTGGAGGCCGATGTATTTGTGATGCAAGACTGAATGATTTGTGCCACCAGGCTGAGAGATCTGCACTGGAGCCAGGAAGTGACATGCAAAGCAAAGACCACAGCTCCCCTGATGAGAACAGCAGCCATCCCAGGCAACATCGAGGACCCAAGCTTCTCTGACAGAACAGCCAAGTTCACATAAAGAAAATCAGCCATGGCAAGTTTCTCCAAGAAAATCAACAGTCAATGCAGTCCTTACCTCCAGAACCTGAACCTGGTGTTTCCTGGCTTTCTGGTCTCCTGAACTTTGACCAGAATCTCCCATATAGTATAGCCTAAGGCGTTCCAGTTCTACTTTTTCAACTGGCATTTCCAAACTCTTCCAACAAGCCAGTACCAAAGGCTCCTGAACCACATGGTCAGATATAATCACATCAACACTCCCGCTTCTCTGGTACCAAATTCTGTGTTACTTTTACTGTGGCCAAGAAAAAATACCTGACCCCCAAAGTTAAAGGGGGAAGGTTTATTTAGCTCACAGATTGTAGAGGTTTCAGTCCAGGATCAGCTGGCTCCAAGGCAGAGTGTCGTGCCAGACAGGTCTTGCAGAGGAGAAACAGTTAATAGCAGCCAGAAGGTAGCAAAAGCAACAAGGGACAAGCACAGGTCTTTCTATCCGTTGTATCTTATCCAGACTACTTAAAGCAGGTAGCATTCACACCCTTTAGTCAGGAGGATTAAGCCTTAATCCTGGAGCCTAGCATTCCACCCTGAATTAATCACACACTCTAGATTCAGCCACCTCAGGAAAAGCTCCACCTATGATTGACTGCATGAGGCTTTGGGGACCATCTAGACATAAGCCATAACACATACCTATGTTTATAGCAGCAGAACTCATAATAGCTAAACCTTGGAAGCAGCCTATAGGCCCATCAACAGATGAATGGATAAGGAAAATATGATATATACACAATGGAGGATATATACACGAAGGATACATTTGAGTCATTTGTAGGAAAATGGATGCACTTTCATACCATAACGTAAAGTGAAATAAATCAGACACAGATTAAATATCACATGATTTCTCTTATATGAGAAACCAAAAATAAAATTTGAAAAGCAAAATAAAAGATAGGAAACAAAATAAAAGATAGAGGGCCCGGGGATTTAGCTCAGTGGTTTCGCCGCCTGCTGTACAAGCGCAAGGACCTAAGTTCGATCCCTGGTACCAAAAAAAAAAAAAAAAAAGTTCCAAAATAAAAGATAGGAAACAGGTCCTGCAAGTGCAAGGACCCATGTTCAATCCGCAGTGGCCCCCCTCCAATTAATTAATTAAATAAAATGATTAAGATGTGATATGTATATGTACAAATTTCCAAGATGAATGTAATTACTTTGCATTGGAAATATATACTAGTTAAAAAGAAGCTAAAAAATAAACTTATAAAATGTACCAATAATCTTAATAAAAAATAAGTTAAAAGAATAAACTTATAAGGAGGAAAGATATAAAATATAATTATCAAGGGTAAAAAAAAAATCCAATTTTTTTCAACTAAAAGACTGAAAGACACAGACCTCATCAGTTCTAATGACTACATTTCAAACAAATGGCTTTCAGGTCTGTTATGTAGCTTTGAAATGATTCCGAACACAGTTGTTACATGGTGCTTTGTCCCTATATGGGACAAGCCAGAGTGAACATCCACCTCCAGGAGTGTGACTGACATGTTTCAGAGCCACATTTGGGAACGTGCTGTGATCTTTTCCTTCTGTCAGGAGTAGTATCTCAAACCTGGCACCTTCATGGCAGGACCTCACGTGTCCTTGAAGATTTCTGCTGCAGTGCTCAACCTGGCTTCTCCCAAGAACGTATCAGAGAAAGGCGCCTCACTAACTCTCATTAGATTTTACTTTACACAGAGGTGGCTTCCACCCTAACAGAGCAATTGTGTCTTAAGCATTTTGGGGACTCTGTGTGGTTTCTACATGGTGTCAGTGGAGTGTATTTCCTGTGAGGTTTGTTGACATTATTTTCTCCGTCTTCACATTGTGAATGTAAAAAAAAAAAAAAATCCTCTTTGGATAACAAGAAACTATGCGATTTTTGAACTCATACTTTGGTCTCCTTTTTGTCCCTATACCCAAGGTCTTTGAGATGGACACTCCTGAGTTGTGGGAGAGACATGTACATCTCAGAGGGACAGAGAAAGGATTTACAACTATAAACTTTTCAGTAAATGATTTAACAATGGGAGGTCAGGGTCCTAAAGTCAGATGTTAGTTACACAGTCAATTGTTTTGGAGACCTGGAACATTCTCAGGAAGGCACTTATATCATCTTAGAGATACAACCTTCAGCTGTTAAAAACTGTGTTAAAGGCTTTTATGGAGAAAGGGGAGGAAGGAAACATTTGTGCTAAGCCCCTGTAGTGTCTAGAGGGCAAGTTTTTGCTCAGAGGAATTTGACTATTTCAGTCAAGGAGAGAATCTTTGCCAATTCCCATACACAAAATGGTAATACACGCTATTTTCCTCTTTCATAATAGTAAATTACTCATTATAATGGTCTCTTTTCTTCCTGTCTAGTAGGAAACAAGGAGACAGATTTTTTTTTTTTTCAAATGGGAAGGGAACCAACAGATAGAGAGTGGGGGAGGTAGAGGGTTGAGGGGAGGGGAAGGAGATGTAAAAAGAATTATGATATGTACATGTACTAACTCCCCATGATGCATGTACTCATTATGTACTATAAATATATGCTAATAAATATAAAACATTAAAAAATAGAATACAGATGTATAAGAACGTGGTGGGTGAAGCTGCAATAATTATCTTGGACCAGGAGGGAACAAACATAAACGTATATTGAATAGCCAACTCCCCAAGCACGGAAGTGAAAACAAAGGCTGATCTTTGATGATACTGCTGAACCTTTGTTCTGCTAAAATACATTAATGACAAAGTTGGCTTACAAACTCCAAAAAACAAACAAACAAAAGGAAGGGGAGGCCATTAAACCAGTAGAGATCTAATGCCTTGGTTCTCAAGTAAGCCAAAACTTAACTCAGAATTTAAAAGAAACTGAAGTAAGCTAGGGCAATTACAGGTGGTCAAGTTTGCTTTATAGCGCTTTGAAATTCCCATGGGAAGAGTTCAAATGAGGCAATTGTTCAAACTAATTTCTTTGCTCTGTTTTCACATTTATTCTATAGTAGCCTTCTCCTGGTGCTCTTTCCACATGGAGATAGAAAACATTTCTCATTTGTAGCTGCCGTATTCATGAATCTCTGATCAAATAAATACCTCTCCCCTTTTTTAAACTCCTGGGTTTAGCTAACTTTTCCTGTAATCCCTCTCTTGGGATTATAGGCCTGAACTGTCATGCCTGGCTGAAATCCTTAAAATTTTTAACCTGTCAAAGTTGACATTTTAATAGTTCCTAATCAGGAACTGTTATATCCAGCCCAACCACCTTTAAAATATAATTTTAGGACTGGGGATGTAACTCAGAGGCACCAGTTACCTAGCATGCAAGGCCAGCAAAACAAAAACAACACACACACAAAGAAGGCAAAAAATTCAAAACCCCCAAATTAAAAAAAAACTGCAAACTTTGGAAGTGTAGTGCCAATATACCATACCATTTTCTCCAATTATCATCTTACTACTACAGTGTTTGTCACAGCTAAGAAACCAATATTGAAACAGCAGTGATCACTAAATGCCACACTTTACTTGGATTTCACTCGTTTTCCCTCTAATGTTCTTTGTCTAATATTCTCCTCCAGGATACTACATTGCACTTAGTTGTCATATCATTCTGCTTTATGACAGTTTGTCAGTTTCTTTTATATGACAGAAAACACGTTTTGGGGGGTACAGGTCAGGTGTTTTGGGATGTCCTTTTTTCACAGAAGAATGGGGTTACGTGGAGAAATACCTCAGGAACATGTTATCCACATTCTTTACTTCTGATAACATCCTTGACCACTTGGCTACTTCCTAGTATTTCCTAGGTTCCTCCACTGTGATGTTACTCTTGTCGCTTCCAGAAATCAAGCTCCTAATAGATGAGTGGTGCAGAAACCGAGCTCCCTCTCCTGGAAGGAGTATGCACAGTACTTAGAATTCCTCTGCAAGGTGGGTAATGGCGCAGAAAGGAAAAGGGGTGCAGTCACGAAAAGGGGTGAGATCGGGTCCTGGTGGACGAATGGAGGGGGACGGGTGAAGTGGGGTGGGGACCAGGCAGAGAGAGCCCGACTGAAGGACCTAGCCAGGTACTAGGCAGGCGGAGGTCGGCGGGGAGAGGCGGGGCCAGACTCAGGAGGTGGCTGGAGCTACTGCTTAAGAAAAAGATTAACAGGCCGGCTCTTCAGGGCGCAGAGTGCTTGCTGTTCGCAGGCCGCTGGGATTTTACACTCCGGGCTCGCGGTGAGGGAAAAGGGTGAAAGGTTGAGGGCTTGGCGTCCTGGGCTAAAAATCTGGAAGTCTGCACATGCGTCAGCTGGGAGGAAGCGGCCAGCGGCGGCGGGGGAGCTCTATTGTGTATTGAGGAGTTGGGTTGTTGAGGTTTCAGGAGAGCGTGATGACTTTCGTCCTCGCCCTCTGCGATTTTGTCTCTTTCTTCAGCTTGGATCACCCAGAGCACAGTTCCGGTTTGCCCGCCCACGGCTACCGCTATTTTGGAAGCGGTGGCCCGCGGGGAGGAGAACGCGGAGGACTTCCGGGATCGCGGCCTTCCGTTGCCTGGGTAACGGAAGCAGGGTCACGGTGCCGCTTTCCTTAGTATTAAATGTTTTTGTGAAAAGAAGTGGTTTCCATCGCAGACCCACGCGAGGCCTGTGCACTACTGCAGTCTCATCGGTTGGACGTCATTCCCTCGGTGTTGTTGCTTAGCGCGCCGGGGACACGAAGGGAGTCGAGGCCCGAGGGTCTGACGTCACCGGCTGGGACGCCGGAAGTGGCGTGGAGAGAGTGCAGGAGGGTGGCGGGCAGTGTAAGGACTTTGGGGGCTCAGGCAGTGCCTTTGGCCGGGCTCCTCGTGGCCGTCCCGGGGACACTTGTGGGAACTTCGCGGCCCGGGGTGTCCGGAGCCCCGGACACCGGAGGGAGCAACCTCCCTTGGTGCTGGGTCCTGATTCCCAACTTCCGGTTCAGCTATTAATGAACCTGCCCCTGCTGAGAATACTGTCGGAGATACTCATTTCTGGTCGTTCATTTCTCTCCCGGTATTTATTTAGAAGTACAGCTATATCGCTGAATATGCGTGTAAATAATATGTCATGTATGTACTCATATATACAATGTGTAAGTCAGAATAGAATACAAAAGTAATAGTAACAGTTTCTAGCACGTTTTCCATTAACCCTTCCTAAATACTCTTGATATGTAAATATGTATGATGTGGTCAGAAGTAAACCCAAAGGGATCACTTGCTTTATAAGTTCTGAAACTTTATTTTTTTACTTTATATGTTTTGCATATTTTTATAACAGCGTAAACAGTTCATTCCTTACTATAACTGCATTCATTCCTATCATTTTTATAAGAAGGTTCACTCTATTGCCTGTACCATGCTGCTGTTTAATAGATTTCATTTTTATGCTTCTAAAGAAGTAGCATGTAGAATCTCTAGTACCCATTTTAGATTTTATCTTTAATTGAATGCTTTCTTGGCTCTCATTGTCTCCCTAAGCTGTTGCAGACTCCCGTTTAATTATATTCATTTGAAGATCCTGATCTCTAAGAATAAGCCACTGTTTATTTCAGACTGAAAGGGGATTTTTTTTCCTTGCCTCTAAGATATGTGAGTGGACAGTGGCTCCTGTTTTATTCTAAATGCAGTTAATTTAAGTTGGTGCTTTAGTGAATGTTGATTAGGGTTGGAACGTGGAAACCCCCACACCACATGTTTATGAAATAGTTTATGAGGATTGCCAAGATTAATCATTATTCAGTAGGGCCTGAAGAAATTGTTTTAGAGGATCCTCTAAATAGAATGTAGAATGGGCCCTCCTTCACTGCAGTATCCTGATTTAGTTCTTGGTCCGAATCTTTCCTCTACAAAAATGCTTTAAATATACACGCTCCCCTCCACTGCAAAACAAAGGAAGAAAGATGAACCAAACATCTTGCCGAGAAAGTTTACCAAAATGCACATTTCTATATTAAAGGGTACAAAGAACAGTGATTATCGTACAACTGGAAATTTCAACTAAGAAATGCTTTTTCTTTTCGAATAGGCAGCTACCTAGAAACTACATCTGTAGCATGCAGAAGAGAAGAGGAAGAACAAGCCGGATCAGAAGGCGAAAGCTCATCCGAGGTTCCGAGTCAAGAGGAGGTACAGCTTTGTTTTGGTGGCAGTGATGAAAGAAAAGAAGCCCGTTGTTGATTGCTGACTGTTTATACACATAGGTTTTCTGAAAGTGTTCAAAGAGAATATTTCTTTCTTTCTTTTTCTTTTTTATTTTGGTACCGGGGACCGAATTCAGGACCTTTCGCACTGGAGGCAGGCAGCTGAGCTAAATCCCCGGCCCAAAGAGAATATTTCTTAATGAATACTCTTTGATGGAACCCTTATATTCTTTTAAACTCTGGTGAGAGTGGTATGAATCTATTTAACTCGTTACTTCAGCCACTTATCTGGAGATGATGACCCCACGTTTCTGGTTCTGGTTCTGTCTTTTAGCCCACTGTAGGATATCAGTGTGTGGGTGTAAATTCGTCACTTCCAGCTCAGCATAACCCAGGCTAAATGAGATATAACATATGAAAGTCCTTGGCCAACTGTGAAGTGCTATGTAAATGCAGTTGGTATTCGTATAAAAATTAGTGACACTGCTACTTGTTGACCCAAAATATGTCAGGACCATCCTGAGGCAGTCATATCCATCTTGAGCCTCCATAGCCATTGTCCTGCTGAACCTTTCCTGTCTTCTTTTAGGTTATCTTCTTCCTGTGCTTTCTGCTGCTTGTGGATGAGGATGATTTCAGCTCGTTCTTTGCTGGTTTGCCTACACCCTTATTTCCTGTCCCATTTATTGCTGTCAGGTTTTCCAAAGGAACAGCTTCCACCTTGCCTTTTTGGTTAGGAACCTCTGGGGATCCTCATTCCCTGTTATGTGATATCTGAACTCCTTCTGCCTGACATTCAAGTTCCTTTAGAAGGGAGCCCCACCCTGGTACCTCCATATGTTCTGAGTACTGTATATCACCCCTGCTCTCTGCTTCATAAACACACCTCCCACATTTCCACTTCTACTGTTCCTCATAATCGTCCTTAGCCTAGAACAGTGATGGTGAACCTTTTAGAGCTTTCAGTGATAACAAACAGCCTGCTGTGGCATGCGTGCCAGAGGTTCGCCACCACTGGCCTAGAACATTTGTTTTCCTTCTCCTTGCTCATCTGCTTTCTCTCTAACCTTCAAAACCAAGTGTTTTGTGTTTTTTTTGGTACTGGGGATTGAACTCGGGACCTTGTGCTTGCAAGGCAGGCGGCAGAACCATTGAGCTAAATCTCCAGCCCAAACCAAGTTTTGGTAATGACATTTCTCGTTCTCACTAATGTTAGCCTTCACTTGTTTGCCACCTAGGTTCAGTGTTCTTAGTGGTCAGCATGTGCTATATGTCTGTTAGTGTATAGTAGTGGCTCATGAAATGGGCATAGTGGGATCAGCCCATAGTCTCAGCTACATGAGAGGCTGAGGTGGGAGGATCTCTTGAGCCTAGAGTTTGAGGCAAGCATGGGCAATACAGTGACACCTTGTCTTGTAAACAAACAAGCAGACAACATGAAATGCTCATTAATATATTGCTGTTAGTGTCAAATGTGTTTTCTAGTTTGTTGGTAACATACTTAGGGAGGCTTTTACTTAGGTCATATTTTTTAAAAAGTTGTGTTGGGATTTAATTGACATAATGAATGTCACTATTTAAAGCATATGATTTGATGTAGGTACAGTACATATACATGAAACCATCATCACCATGAAAATAATGAACATTACCATCATCCTATGAAGTTTCCCTCTTTCCTTTGATAATCCATTATCCCATACCTCTCTTAACACCCCGTTCTCCCAACCCTAGGTAACTACTGAAATGCTTTCTGGGTCACTATGGGTTTGTTTGCATTTTATAGCTTTCTATAAATCATTCAGTGTGCGCTTTGTTTTAAAATCTGCCATCTTTTCCTAAGCATAGTGATTTAAAATTCATGTTTCACATATCAATAGTTCATTCTACTTATTGCTTAATATGGTTTGTTTATCCTCTTGATGGTAGGAAGATACAGATTATGTTTTACATATTTTGTGCAAAACATTTTTTCTGAATTCATGTTGTCTAAAAACAGTGCCTCTCAAAGTAATTTAGTCATTATAAGTCTTCTCTCCATGAGTTTTGCAACCTGAGTAAATCAGTTCTGCCACTGGTGATGTGAAGTTAGCACTGGGATAAGAAATCAGCTTGTTCTATATTATCATCAAACCATGGTATTTTTTTATCTATTTTTCTAAGTGCCAATTTATCTTTCCTGGTGGTCATTATTTTTCCCATAAGTACCCTTCCTCCTCTGTTTTATATTCCTATTAATATGGTACAAAATCTTCACATTCTAGTTGCCTCTGTGAGTCATGTTTTTCTGTGAATTCCTGTGTACAAAAGAGAAATAAAAGTATTTTTAAAACTTGCTCATCTGTATTTTGTCAGCTTAATTTGCTGTCCCCTACATAGTTACCTAAGAGAATAGAGAAAAAGCTTTTTCTCCCCAACAGTGGACATTAAGGTTATTTTCCATCTTTGGCTGTCACAAGTGAAGCTGCTGTGAACAAGCATGTACAAGCCTTTCCATAGACATACATTTTTTTCCTTTGAGTATCTACCTAGGAGTAGAATGGCCAGATCATTTAGTAGGTGTAGGTTTAACCTTTAAAGAATCTTCAAAGCAGTTTTTCAAAGGGCTGCCCTATTTTATATTCTCACCAGCAGTTTATAAGAGTTCTGGTTGTTCCACATTCGTGGGAACAGTTGTTGTTGACTGTAGCAGTAACGGTGAACCTTTTAGAGCTTTTGATGCTATGAACAGCCCACTGTGGCAGTTGTGCCATAGTGTGCTACCATTGCTATAGTGTTGTGTGTTCTAGAGAATGTTCCATGTGCACTTGAGGAAAATGTGTATTCTGCTGCTGTTGGGTGATGTTTGTTAGTCCTCCTTGGTTTATTGTGTTGCTATCTTTATTCCCTGGTGATCTCCTACTCGTTGTACCAGTTACTGAAACAGGTCTTCAAGTTTCTAGCTATTACCCTAGAATTGTTCTTTCCTCCCTTTATGCCTGTTATTTTTGCTTCATGTATTTTATGGCTGTGTTGTTAGATTCATGTATGTCTATAATTGTTACATCTTTCTGATAGATTAATGCTTCTCTAACTCTAGTAGCACCTTTGTTTTAATGTCTGTTTTTGACTGATCCTAGAATAGTCTTCTCCAGCTTTCCTTTTTCTTTTTTCTTTTTCTTCTTTTGGTACCGGGAATTGAACTCAGGGGCTCGTGCTGGCCAGGCAGTTGCTGTGCCACTGAGCTATGTCCCCGGCCCTCCAGCTTTCTTGTAGTGGTGTGTATGATCCATCTTTTTCATGTTTTACTTTTAGTCTCTCTATCGTTGAGTCTGAAATGTATCTCTTGTATAAAGGATTTCCTTGGGTCTTGTTTATTTATCCTAACAAACTGCCTTTTGCCTGGATTTCTTAATTCACTGACATTCAGTGATATTATCTATAACTTTGATTTCCATCTGCCAGTTTATGTCTTGTTTTCTATATATCTTATGTATCTTTCTTTGGTTTTCTGTTTCTCCTTTACAGCATTCTTTTGTGTTAAATCATTATTTTCTAATATAATGGTTTTTTTCTTCATTGCCTTTTTGTTATATTTTTTGAGTTATTAATGGTAGTTCTAGGGCTTACCATGTGTGCCTTAGCTTGCTCAGTTCATTTTTGTCAGTCTTAGTCACCTTGGGCCACCAGAGCAAAGTACCATAGACTGGGTGGCTTAAACTATCAATTTCTTTCTCATACTAGTGGAGGCTGGAAAATGTAAGATCAGGGTGCTGGCTGACTGACTTGGCTCCTGGTGGTGGCTCTCTGGTTGTAGCCAGTGCATTTTGAGTGTGTCCTCACATGACAGGGGATCTCTACCTCTTTTTTCTCTTTTTTATGAGGATCTGGGTTTTAGGAGGATTTATGAGATTCCATGAGGATAGAACCTGTGGCTCTAAATATGTTCTCTGCCACTTAGCTGTACCCCACGCTCTCCGTCTTGTAAGGCCCCTGATCCTGCAATGAAAGCTCTACCATCATGACCTCATCTAACTGTTCTTATTGCCCTAAGGGCCCCTCTCCAAGTACCGTGACAGTGGGAGTTAGGTTGCAACATAGGAATTTTGGGAAGGCACAAATTTTCAATCTAACAGTCTTATTTATTTATCTTTTCATTGTTCTTAGTAATATTTTGTAGGTTTTTGTTTGTTTTTGGTACCGGGGATTGAACTCAGGACCTTGTGCTTGCGAGGCAGGTGGCAGAACCACTGAGCTAATAAGTCCCTGGCCCCTTGTAGTTTTTGATATACAAGTTTTACACATGTTATTAGATTTCTCTTAAGAATTTCATATTTTTGATGCTACTAAAATGATATTTTTAAAATTTAAATTGGTGATTGTGTTTTGATTTTGTATCCTGCTACATTGCTGAACTCACTTATTAACTTTTTTTTGTAGACTCAATTAGATCTTTTACATATATGCTGATGTCTTCTGAGAATAAGTTTTACTTTTTTTCTCAGTTTGATTTCTCTGATTTATTTTTCTAGCTCCTTTTTACTGGCTGATCTGTCAGTACAGTGTTGGAATGCAGGGGGAAGAGGCACAACCAGACATCCCTGTCTTGTTTCTGATCTTAGGAGTAAAGCTCTCAGTTTTTTATATGTCAGCTATCCATATTTTAAGGATAGTTTTCACCAGATTGAGGAAGTTTCCTTCTGACAGTTTACTGAGAATTTTTATCAGAATGGGGATGTTGGGTTTTTATCAAATTTTTTTTTTATCTATAGAGATGGTCATATGGTTAATGGTTTTGCTGTTTTAGAGTACATTATTTGTTTTTTTCATAAAATTTATTCCCTTTTGTAGTATTTTACTATAGTGAAAAATATGTGAGAAAATCAACTTAAAGAAGTAAAGTTTATTCTGGCTCACAGTTTCGGTCCATGGTCACTTGGTCTCATCATTTTGGCCCTGAGCTGAGGCAGAACGTCCTCGTGAAAGGGTGTGGCAGGATAACCTGCCTGGTACATGGAAGCCAAGAGGCAGAGTGAGCTGGAGAAGAAGGGGCTGGGGACAAGATTCACCTCCCAGGGCACCCCATCAGTGACCTGCCTGCTTCCTCCAACTAGGCCTTCCCTCCTAAAGTTTCTGCCACCACCCGTAATGGCATCAAATTATGAGTCTGAGAATCAATTAATCCACTAATGAGGTCAAGGTCCAGTGATCTAGTCACCTTCTAGAGGCCTAACCTCTGAGCACTGCTGAATTGATGGGGCCAAGCCCCACACATGAGATTTTGGGGGATATTCCAATCCAACTATAATGCCTTACAAATCTGATACACTTCATCAGAGATGTTCTTTTTAAATGATAACCTGATCATACAGTGATTTTAATCACCACATGTTCTTTCCTCTCCTGATTAGCGAATGAGAGCCACAAGCCCGAATTTATAGAGCTAAAGAAGTGGCTGAAAGATAGGAATTTTGAAGACACAAATTTAACACCTGCTCAATTTCCAGGTAAGAGTGTGGCATTGGAGTCTCCTGACCTCTCAGCTGAGGGTTGTGTGGGAACTGGGGTGATTCTCATAGTGGGCTGTGTGCTCTCTGCCTTCCTGCCTTGGAGCTGTACTATTTATTTGTACTTCATGTTGGTGTAAAAGTGAATGAAAATGACTTGCAGAGAGAAATGATGAAATGATGAAATAAAGTTTAAAAATTGAAAAAAGTGAATGAGAATAGAAACATAAGTTAAATCCATGAATATGTATAACGCCTGAGTGCCACAGTTACAAAATCGGACAGTTATCAGAGCTGAGGTGCAACTTGGACCCATCTTTCCAGTAGCTTGTACAATGGATAGGATCAATGACCTTAATCTGAATTCTCTGTAAACTAGACTGTGTTGTTTAGTGAGCAGCTGTGCAGGCATTCCTGGTATCTGGCCTTAGGGGAATGCCTTTGCTTGTCCTCATAGGAAAGATATTTGTATGCTGTGGTGATGGTGTGTTCAGCAACATCCCTGTGGTGGTTTCATTGTTCAAACTTGCAGGTTGATGGAATTTTCCCAGACCCCAGTGGGTCAGAATAGTTTCCTAAAATGGAGGGAGGTTCCAGAACCAGTTGAGGTGTGTGTTCTCTCTTGGGTGGTGTGGCTGCAGGAGAGGATCCTGGGGAGGCCTCAGCACACTTGTCCTTGGCTGGTTTGCAGCTGTGGTCCCCACACGTTGGAGAAGCACCTCTGTGGGGGCCCAGTTAGTCCCAGAGCTGAGGGATCCCACAGTCACCTGAACTGAAATAGGTAAACATTCTCTTCTGAAAATTGAATCCTTTATTATGGAGGTCAGATTGACATTTTCTTCTGGAACATTCTCTCCCAGAAGCTGGCGATCTTGCTGTGTGTGTGGCTGCATACAGGGCCACCCTGCACTGCCCATGAGTGGGCTGGAGATGACCACAGAGTGGACCAAGATGCTCTTTGAAAGATCTTGGGCCCCAGTGGCACAGGGATAGTTGTGTGATCAGGACCCTGAAGTTCGACATCCGGGGGAGGCTGCAGATAGTTTATCTGACAGAAATCAGAGCATTTTACACTGATGCCCCCTCTGGCCATTTCGGTGATCATTCAGGAACCCACTAGGTACTCATTAAAGCTAATTAACATTCTTTTACATCTCTCAAGATCAGTTATTTCCCGTGATGCCCCTAGGTAAGTGTGATGATGTGTGTGAACGTGTTCCCCATGAATGGGTCATGGGGTGACTGTGGGGTAAAATGCTTGATTTGAGCCATGAGCCTAAATGACAACAGAGAATGGCTCCCCAAAAAGTGCCGCGGTGAGATATGTTTGAGTTCAGGGAAGCAAAGGAAGACAGGGCTTTTAATGGTAAAATGAGGAGGGTTTGGTAAAATGAGGGAGCTATCCTCAGCTACAAGGATCAGCAATAAAGGTGGCATTAGTCCTAGGTGGAACAGACGATTGCTGGGCAGGCACCCTCATGGAACTATTTTTGTGCAAGGTTGTGGCTTTGGCAGAGTATTTTGGGATAGTATTGAGAAATCAAGTGTGAAGACCCTCCCTTCTCGGCCTTCCTGGCTCTTTTTGTCTAGGTTTGGCACAGGTGACTCCATTTTGGTTTTGAAAACTTTCCCAGAGCCATTTTTTAAATTCAGGCTTCTCCCAGTTTATGATCATGAACTGTGATTGTCATCTGAAAACAGAAAGTTTAACTTCCTGTGTGACAGGCAATGGTCAATGAAAGCCACTCTCTCGGGTTACTGTACTATGTGGAGTTCTGCCAGTTGATCCAGAGAAAATAATGTCAAGAGTCTTACTTTTAGATCTTTAGGTCTCAACCTTACCTTGCCCTTAAGTATTTGAACCCACAAGGCGGTCACGCCATTTTCCACAATAGCTGTCTGACCCTGCCCTCTCCTGAAGTCTAAGGTTGAGAGACACCAGCTTTATCTTTATATGATTTTGAACTTCATTCACAGTTTTTATTCTGACTGGGATCTCTTGGACTTTGAAGTTGAAGTCGGATTTATCCTTTTCTTGTCTTTGCTTCCATAGGTACAGGAAGAGGACTGATGACCAAGAAATCCCTGCAGGTGAGAACTTTTCTTTTATCCTTGAAACTCAATATATATATATAATTTTGCTGCTTTGTTTGTGGGGTTCAAATGAAATGAATTAAAAGTACTTCAGACATGCAGGCGTTTCTTGCTTACCTAATGGATGTGTTTGAATACGATTCTGTCTATAGGATTAAGTTTACTGTATAGAAAAGAAGTTTATACTTTTATCATTTAAATATATGTGCAAAGAGTCACCCAGAGCTGGTGGACCAGGGCCATGGCCATTAGAGGCCCAGACCTCTTCCTATCCTGTGTTACTCCCTGAGTCTCCTCAAGGTGCTTGGATCCTGGGCACAGGAGGCAGCAAGGTGGAGAGGAAGGGCAGGTTTCTCCCTTCGAGAACATTCCAGCCCTGTCTGATAGGCCAGTGAGAGATCAGCTTCATGGCTCACTGACTTCCCTGGCATTGTGTCACCAAATGAGACCCCGCTAGGAGGAGGAGAGAAGGGGTGTTGGGGTAGCGCAGTAGCAGCCTCTTCCACAGCAGTGAAGTCCTAATATAAATGGGACAGGGCAACTGCTCTCCTCTGAGAGTCTGTGTGCAGCGGGGGAAGGCGAGCCTGGGTGAGTGGGGGAGGAGGCCTCGGAGCCTGTCCTTAGGGTGCGTCCCCCTCCCCGGACCTGAGCCAGACCTCAGTCCTGGGGGCTTCCGTCTCTTCACCTGGACAATGGGGAGTTCAATGGCATAGGCCATCTCTACGGTCCATTTTACTATTTTCTGTGCTGTTTTAAAGGATTATGTAACACAATTTTCTAAATGCTAACTTTTTAATTTTACAGTTATTTAAATGTATGTATGTATTTATTTTATGAGGGACAGGGTGGTGCTGGGCAGCTATCCCGGGCTTTGCACATGCTGAGCATGAGGCCTGCTGCTGAAGTATACCCCAGCCTTTATGGTGATTTTCAGTTCCTCAATCTAATTTGTTTTAAATTCAGATGTATATACATGTTTTTCTGAAAGAATGGTATCTATCAGTGTTACAATTCTGTTATGCTGTTTTCTTATTATTTTTAAATTCCAATTATAAAATACACACCGCTTAAAATTTACCATTTTAAATATCTTTAAGTGTATGTACTCTTCAGTAGTGTTAAGTATATTCACATTCTTGTGCAAGGTTTTTATTTTCTTTCCCTCCCTCCCTACCTGCGTGCCTGCGTGCCTGCCTACCCTTGCTATATTCCAAGACCCTTTAAAAATTTTTATTGAGCTTAAGACAAGGTGTGCTAAGTCACTAAGTTGCCCAGATTTTTATTTTCTAGGGAAAGTCTAATTTACTTTATTCTGAAGCAGAATTTGAGAACAAGATATACACTTCTTATTTACAGTTTCTTCTGTAGGAGTTTTATTTAGATCAGGAAATGACTGGCAGTTGCTTCATGTGTACTTTCAAATGTGGCTTTTTCTTAAACTTTTTAAAAAGAGAGACATACTATTACATGAAATGCACAGATTTTAAGTGTGTAGTTTGAAGCATTTTTTGGTAGAAGGATCTATCCCATTCAAGATATGGGTGTATTAACAAGTGGTTTTTGGTTTTAATCAGAAAGTCAAGAAATGTAGAAGCTGGAAGAGTGATTTACCCAGCTTAATCTTGCTTTACAGATTCAGAAATCAGAAATTGAAGTCTGAAGGTCTTTGGCTAATATTTGTAACCAACTTAGATGGCAGTTAAAATGAAAGGAGGATCTTAGGTCTGTTTTTCAGTGCTTCATTTTGCATCTGAGCTTGTGTAACACTGGTATCTGGTGTCTGTTACTTTACTTGTTAAAACTGAAAACCATACTTTTGCAGGTGGTAGAATTAATCCCTGCTATGCTGGGTGGGCTGCCCTTTCTTAAGCTGGTGGGTACAGGTCAGGTGGCAAGGAGGCCATTGTGCTATCATTCAGATTCGACTGGGTACCATCTTTGTTTTTTGCTTTTGTTTTGTTTTTTGAAGTCAGAGTCTCTGTGTTTCCCAGGCTGGTGTTCCCAAACTCCTGGTCTCAAGTGATCTTCCTGCCCCAGCCTCCTGAGTAGCTGGGACCACAGGTGCAAGCCACTGTGCCTGGCTTCACTAAATAGATTTTTTTTGAGTGGCATCTGCCTGGTCCTCTAGATAACCCTGTTTTCTGGCACAAGAAAGAGGGGAACCAATGTGATAGGAGTCATCAAGGTGTCCCCACATTCCCTTCTGGTGCAGGGTTGACTGTGGGAGTCAGCCCCTCCTGAGATTTTACTTCCTGTTGGGGTGGTAGAGCAGCCTTGCCTGTGTCTGCCGACTCAGGCAGTCAGGAGCCAGGCTCTGAGTGGGCTCATTAGTGGCAATAGCTGGGTTATGGGGGGTTCTTGGTAGGTGATATGGGGTCAGGGACTTTATAAAACTCATACTCACAGGTCGTGCCCAAAGCATGACTGTCCTAAACTTCCTTTCTTTGTGGCAAGGAGGGACAGATGATTATTTCACTACCTGAGAGTTGCCTGCTCACCACGGACACAGTGATTCGAAGCTCTTTAGGGGTGTACATCGCTAAGTAAGTGACCCCAGCGTGCTCATCTGGTGCCAGTGCTTCTCCTTGAAGCCTCTGTCATTGACAAACATCTCGTCTCAGGCACGGTTCATGAACATCAAGCCTCTTGTCTAATTATTAAATACCTGACATGAATGGAGAGGTTTTTTATTTTCAGTTCTAGGAAGTGAATTCATTGTTAACTGCATTTTTAACGTCTTTAATAGACTTCCTGGGATGGCATGTGAATCCTCATCCATCACTTACTAGAAAATGAAGACAAAATAGAATAATATATGTAAATCACCACCCAGTGCCTTGACTCCTGTTCTCTTCCATCATAGTAGGTCTTGACAGTTGTTCATTAACTATTTTAATTTCACCCTGATTGTCCTTACTCTAATTGTTCTTCAGCTATGAGGAGCTTTGACATTATGAAAGAATTCGGTTTTTTAGGCAGAGAAGAGAGGGGTGATGTGGGAGTTGAGAGCTGTTTTCTGGCTCGTGTGGTGGGGCTTTCATCGGGCACCTGTGAGGACAGAGTGAGTGAGAGCCCTCAGCAGAGGGGATTTCTAAATGATGAGGGCTGTTTCTTAACCGAAGGTAAGCTGTAGACTTCTTTACACCTGGCATGTTTTTGGATAAGGGTAATACAGGGTAGGCCTGATTACTGACAAAGCTGCTCCTGGGATTAACATTTTCAGAAGTTGAGTAGTTTCTCAGGTTTTGAGCAGAATATGTGGCAGTGTAGGAATCTAGACTTCGGAGGATTAATGAAAATTTTCTAAATATATTCATGTTACATGAGATCTTTGTATTGAAAGTATGCAAAGACAGAGATACTGTTATGCATAATCTGCACTAGAGCGGGTACATTCAGGAATGAAAGCTTTCAAACTGCAAGAAGCTATAAAGAGCACATTGGGTTGGCAGTCCACATTGGTGCTGTCTTGTACAACTTTCGGTAATGACTGTTTAACTTTCTGTGGTCCAGTGTGGTGGACACTGGCCACAAACGGGTATTGGTTTTTGGAAACATGGCTTATCCTACTTAAGAATTGAATTTTAAATATTATTCCATTTTAAATAATTCCAATTCATAGTACATGTGCCCAGTCATTGGTGTATTGCAGTGTGCAGCCTAAGCTTTTTCCCCAGCCATATTTTATATCCTTATCCAGTTGTAAGAAATAGATTGATTGCAAAAGCTCTGAAACTGGAGAGCAAAGTTGGAAGTTTTTGCAAAGATCTTGTTAGTTGGGTTCGATAGTCTGCTTTTCTGACGTAATTATGTCTTGTTCAGAGCATGTGTATGTGGTGTACACTGGAGAGGAAAAGCTTTAAGCTGTCTTGGGTGCATGAAGTCAGCTTAGATTACTAAGATTACTAAGTTTGAGTACAGTCCTGGCACAAAACAAACCACTTGCCTTTACATATTTTGAATAAAAGTAATTTTTTAACCAGCTTTTCGTTTTACAAGGTGGAAGCCGCCTCCGTCTCCTCTGTTGGCTCTGTGCACCTTTTTAGTTTCAGAAAAGCATGCCGGCGCTCGGTCTGTCTGGAAGCCTTACCTGGATATTTTACCCAAGTCCTACACCTGCCCTGTTTATTTGGAGCCAGAAGTGGTTAATCTTCTTCCCGAACCTTTAAAAGCAAAGGCCAGAGAGCAGAGAGCTTCTGTGCAGGAGTTCTTTGCTTCCTCCAGAGACTTTTTTTCTTCCCTGCATCCTCTGTTTGAAGAGGCCATTGACAGAGTGTTCAGCTACAGCGCCCTCCTGTGGGCCTGGTGCACTGTCAACACCAGAGCAGTGTACCTGAGGACCAGGAGGCGGGACTGCCTTTCCCCAGAGCCCGACACTTGTGCGCTAGCTCCTTACCTGGATCTACTGAATCACAGCCCACATGTCCAGGTGAGAAGCTGACATGGAGATGCATGTTTCCTTTTGAGAGGCAGAATCCAGCGTGTAGAGACTGGGACTTTCGGTTGTCAGTGAAACCATTGGAAGAGATGCACTTGGCTTCAAGTAAATTTGTTAGACCAGTCTACCCCTGATCCTTGCTCCACACCCCAGTGTGTCCTGGCATGCTTTTCCTTTGCCCTGTTTCTCCACTCTGCCTGCAGAGCCCTCTGTTCTTCCCCCGAAGAGCCTTAACCATCAACCCATGCATGGTGCAGAGTCTTCTTTCTCCTCCCTTCTTCCAGACTTTGGCTGAAGTCTAGCTTGCTTTCCTTCCCATCCCTTTCATCCTTACTGACATAGCTGGCAGAGCCTGTATCTTCACTCCGGTCACTGATTGACTTCCCTCTTGCCCTACCAATCCTGAAATCTTTGAGATTGAGGGCTTAGTCTTGTTCCTTCTTGTATTCCCAGTGCTCAGAGTGGGGCCTGGGCCATAGTAGGTGTTCAGTAAATGTTTACTGCATGGATGAATGTTTGTGGGGAACAGATTCTGGGAATTCATGAAAGAATCTTACATAGGGAAACAGTCACAGATATCCTCTTCCTCAGCCCTTTCGCCATGTGGTGCATGTGGGAGATGCCAGCATTGGCAGGGCATGCTGGGTAAAGGCCTGACTGGAGGGAGAGAAGAATCTGTGTGGCAGCTCATCGGTGGCCCATTGGGGGCACATTGTGGACCACGTGGCTGGGATCTGAACCTGTGCCATCCCCTTGGTGTGACATGCCACTGTGAGAGGGCTGATACTGCCCTGCTAAGCTCCCATGCCAGGGAGAGGAGAGCTTAGGGAAGAGTCCTGCTGGGTTTCTTGAGCTTAGGCCAACCCCCGGTCTGTCTGCCTGTTACTTTTGTTGAATCACAGCAACTGTTATCCCAGTAGCCTGAGGTGAGGTGAATGTGTGTGGAAAAGTAAGTTTCTCATTGTAGGTAAAAGCAGCATTTAATGAGGAAACTGGCTGTTACGAAATTAGAACGGCTTCAAGTTGTAGAAAACATGAAGAAGTGTTCATCTGCTATGGCCCTCATGATAACCACAGACTGCTCCTGGAATATGGATTTGTTTCTCTCCGCAATCCTCATGCCTGTGTTTATGTCTCAAGAGGTTGGAATCAACTTTGTTATGATTGAGATAATATTTTTCCCATTAAGAGATAGTTATTTTTAGTTTGTTTTAGAAAACAGCAAAACCTTCAAACATCCTTACATATCGTTATGGATTCTGATTTCAGTGTTGAAGTAGAAACAGCAAAGCTTTGATTGATAATGAGGATAAGCAGAACCGAAAGATGTTTTATATCAGTAGGTCAGAAGGTAGAGTGAAAGTCTAGTAAAACTGCTAAGGAAATGAGTGTATTAGTGGAGGGAAGATATGAAAATATTGGTACTGAGGCATTGTCACAGCTGCTGAAGACAGGATATGACTAGGGAGCAATGAAGAACAAGTGTTTACTTAGCACCTACTGTACGTAGGACACCGCTAACCACAGAAGTAAGTCTCTTACTTCATCTTTATTTTTGGAGTTTAATGCCATGATCAAATGTTGATTTCATTTATGTTCTTTTGTGATCTAACATGCCATCTTCATTTATATTTCTATTTTAAAATAATCGTTAAATTCAGGAGAAGAAAAGTCCAAATTTAATATTAGAAACAATACATAAAAGGCTGATTTCCCCCACTTTGGAAGCAACAGCGAAGCAGTTCCCAGGTCATGATGAAGTGGCCAGAGATTCCCCAGTGTATAGTTTGAGGGACGGTCAGATGAATTTAGAAACCTGGCCAAGGCAGTTTAATGATAATATAGGCACAATAGTGATATTTCTCCTAATAGAAATAGAAAATTAGAAACTATACCTTGCAGAGTATTTTAGAAAACTACCTTTTGTTTTCTGTTTTGTTTTTTTTTTAAAACTAGCTTTTGAATTGGCCTCATAATTCAGAATCAAGATAACTTTAAAGTTTATGACTGCAAAATAGTAGTTACCAAATAATTTAATTTGAGCAAAATTACATTTTAGTTACTTTTCCACTCAGAAAGTAAAGTAGGGGCTGGGAGTAGGGCTCAGTGATAGAACACTTGCCGAACATGTTCAAGACTCTGGGTTTGATTCCTGGCACCACAAACAAACAAACAAAACAAAAACAAAAGAAAAGCCTTTCAGTGCCCTTTTCTTCTCAATAGCTTTGTCAGTTTTTGCGTATTTATTTTAAATAGTTTAAATAGTTTATGATTGGAATCATTAATGTCCAGACTGTGTTGAATTCTGCCTTTTAAAACTCAGTATTGCAAAACTTTTTCCTCAGGTTTTACAGAGCCTGTACTATTGTTGGTTGTTATTCTCCAGAAATGAGCATCATATCTTAATTCCCTGCTTCTGCTGGTTGAGTCACTTAGTGGAAGCTGAGCTTGTGGATCTTTTGTCCTCTGGCCTTGGAATTCTTGCAGCTTGTCCAGGACTAGTGGTCTCATTGAATTGGAGTGGAAGAGGTTTCCTTTGTGTGAATTAGAATCCCTTGTACTGTGACTTGATTGCTAATGGGAAGGAAAGTTGAGAAGGGGAGACATACCTTTGTCTTAATTCTACCCTAAATCTCTGATTTTCTTCTTTTTAATATAGAAATACTTGTTAGATATCTTCCATCAACAGATAAACAGATGAACAGAAAGATTGCCATTTTAAAGGATCATGGTTTTATGGAGTAAGTGTTACACTTGCCCTCTTGGAATTGCTCTTTCGGGCAATTCTCATGAACAAATTGACGTTACAGTTTCTGTAGGCGTCAGGCCTTTCCCGACTAGTATCAGCTGGTGTTTATTGACCACTTGCTGGTTGCAGTATAGTTGTGTCCAGTTTTATATCAAGGAGTGTGAAATACTTTAAAGACATTTATTTGGAGGATATAACATACAAGCTTGGAATACTAAATTACTGCAGCAAAGAGAGCTCTGTGTTCATTGGCGGGCCATGGTGAGTTTGTCCACTGTGTGGTCAGGTTGGGTGGCACTGGGCTATTGCAGGCCAGCCTGGTCCTTAGGAGAACATTACCTAGCATCATGGGTAAGTGGTAGCTGCATCACGGTACAGCACTTGGGGTACCTGGGTGGCTGAGCAGTTCCACACCAAAAGGGTAGGTGCAGTTTAAGTTTCTCCCTTTCAAATTTGGATAGTATCAAGTTTTAAATAATCTAGCAGTAGTGTGAAAGCTGCCTGGCTGTGGTGCTCCATGATAATCTGAATTCTTCCTCATTCATCTCAGTGTGAACTGTGGGTTGTGCCCTCTTCCTATGGCCTCTCAACCAACTTGTGCCTCTTGCTACAATTGAATGGAAAGTAGCTTTTTACTTAAAAAAAGGAGTATTTTTTGTTCCTTAGGATTTATTAAGTACTTCGGATTATTTATGTTTTTGACCTAGGTTGCAAGTAACAATGTTTTGAGGCCTTATTTAAAAAGAAATGTTTGACTCTTCAGCTGTTTTTCATGGTGTTATGAAATGATAAAATGACAGATTATTGCTATTCATTTTCCTACTTTAGAAATTTGACGTTTGGGTGGGATGGACCATCTTGGAGGTTACTCACAGCTCTGAAGTTGTTATGTCTGGAAGCTGAAAAATTGTAAGTTCCACATGTGTTGGTCTTCACCTGTAGCTACAGTCTGGACATAACTTTGGGGCATATTTGGCTTGCATTCAGATACTCACCCTGAGAAGAGAAAGGCTTGTCATCCTTTGTTAGAGTTCCTTTAGTTTTGGGAGAGTCAAAAGTTATACACAGGGCCGGGGATTTAGCTTAGCGGTGCCACTGCACCTGCCTTGCAAGTGCAAGGTTCTGAGTCCGGTCCCCGGTACTAAAAAAAAAAGTTACACACAGATTTTCAGTTGGGGAGAGTGGAGGTCAGCCTGGCCAGCCCCTGAGTTGTTCAAGGGTCTAGGTAGACCCCTTACTCTCAGCACACGATATCTTTTTATCTTATAGACATGATGACTTCTATAACTGATATGTTTGCTTCTTTCCGTTGTAAAACTCAGGCAAAATTGTGGTCCACTCAAATGTGCAGGATGCTAAGACCCGTGATTCACCACTGACCCTTTTTCCTGGTTGTATCTTCTTACCTTTCCGTCTCTCATTTTTCCTTTGTCTTGTTCTCCCCATCATTCATCTTATGTAATGTTTTATCTTGTGTGATCCCATGTAAGTGTCTTTAAATCCTTCTTGGACCAAGATATATATGAATTTTTTTTCAGGCATTTTAGCGTAAAGTTAAATAAAGCTATTGATGTTTTCCAGAGGTCGCTCTCCTTCCCCTGAGTGACTTCTTACTGGCTGATTATTGTGGCAGGCAAGGCATGTGGCCAGGATTCTGCCTGATGTGGGTCTGTGTGCCATGTCTGCCTCCCTAAGTGAGGCCTCTCACTTTGTAGATTCCCAGTTTCTTTGAGTCTGCCGTGGGGATAACTGCTCTCTTAGGTCATTGTGCAGATTACATAAGGCAATGGTTATGCTTGAAACACTCTACCGGGTACATAGTACTTTTCTGCTTTCTTTCATGACAACTCCTGTGTTCCTAAGGTGTCTGCCGACTTCTCTGAAGCTGAAGACTTTTAAGTCATGTCCCTGTTGTGTCTTTTGAGCTGTTCTGAATTTCTGACTGGTGTGTATACTTCCACTCTCATGATTTAGAGGCCATCTTCCCTTCCCCTTGTAAGTCACTGCCACCACTTTCAGATTCTCTGCATCCACAACCTACCCCTCCATCCTCCTCCCCCTGGCTACTGCTTCTTCCTTGTATATAGATTTGCTCTGCCCCTTCTCACACAGCATCCTACTTTGGTTCCCTTGTGCCTGCCCTAACACCTCTGTGTTCTTCTGCTTTTGGGAAGTTGGCTCCACCTGCCCCTGAGCCCATTTCTGGCAGCCCTGTGTGTGTTAAGGCGGGTGACCAGCATGGAGAGAAAGGCTTGGCAATAGACTCCTCCTTCCACATGTAGAGCAGTTTGCTGTGTGAAATGATTCCAGGTTGTCACCTTTCAGGAAAGACTTTACTTGAGAAGGAAACTCTAGGGCCTTACCTCCTTTTAGCTGTGGGCTTGCCTTCCTGCCATCTCTTCCCTCCTGTTCTGTCTTTTGGTTATTCCCACAGTTGGTGTATGTGACTTCACTTACTTGTGTGCCAGGAACAGAGTTGTGATGATAATAAAATTCAGTCTCTGTCAGCAAAAAGCACCTGATCCCCTGGTTTTTCAGTTCTGGTTACTTTTTTTTTAGTACTGGGGATCGAATTTGGGACTTTGCACTTGCAAGACAGGCACCGGAACCACTGAGCTATATCCCCGGCCCCTGGTTACTTCTTCTTTCATTTATTCCTTGACCTTCCACAGGAGCTGCCAATGGCATGGAGGTTTTAGGAAATCTCCTTATGGAAAACTTTTATTATGCTCCCATAAGAATAGGAGAGTCTGTATATTGTGTTGCAGTGTGAAAATTGTCTTTATTTTTTAAGAAGCCTGATGAAATTATTAAACATTCTGGTTCTAGTACTTGCTGGACAAAAGTACTTCTTGGAGAAGTAATTTCAGATACAAATGAGAAGACAAGTTTGAACATAGCGCGGAAAATGTGTTATTATCTCATAGAGGAGACTACTGCTGTGCTTCAAAAGGTATGATTCTGGAATATTACATCTTTTTAATTGACAGGTAAAGATTGTTTATGTTTACAGGTGCAACATGATATTTTGATATATAAATATACCGTTACTGTGGAATGGCTTTAATCAAGCCTTGTAACATACTTTGTACTTCACATACTATTTTTTGTGGTGGGGAGATTTAAAATCTACTTTCTGACCAATTTTCAAATGTACAGTGTACATATTGTGACTAACTGTGGTGACCATGAAGTACAATAGATATGTGGAACTTACTCCTCCTGTCTTGCTAAAATTTTGCATCCTGAGGGCCCAGGAGGAGGCTCCCCGGCCACCATTCCACGGCTCCCAGGGCAGAGGAGGTGAGCCAATCCCAGCACCCAGGAGGAGGCTTCCCGGCTGCCATTCCACCACTCCCGGGGCAGAGGAGGTGAACCAGGTGGGCGCCAGCTGCACCCCTCTCCCCCGTGGAAATGAGAAGACACGTAAACAAGCCTCAAAAACAGACTTCCAGATCATCTACAGCAACCCCAAAGGGAAATGAGATGGAACACTCTGATACTCAACTGGCTGGACTCCCTGAACTGGCAACAAAAGAGGATCTGGAAAAAATGAAATCAGAAATAAATTCTCAGATAACAGAAGAGATTGTGCCCATAGTGCAAGACATGATTAATAAATCTAGAGAGGACACAAATTAAAAAATAGAGGAGCTAAAGAACATGATGGAAGCCCAACATAGGAAACAAATAGAATCCATAAAACAGATACAAACAGATTTCCAGGAGATTAAAAACTCCATTGAAAGTCTATGCAGCCAAATGAACCAATGTGAGGACAGAATTTCAGATATAGAAGATAAGATTGCAATTAGTGACCAGGAAAAGAAAAATTGCTTTAAAATTGTAAGGGACCACAAGAAATCAATCCAGCAGCTGCTAGACAATGCAAAGAAGAATAACATAAGACTGATTGTAGTCAATGAAGAAACAGGAGAGAGTGCAGATGACATTAAAAAACTGTTCACAGAAGTGATGGCAGAAAACTTCCCAAGCAGGGGAAAAGAACCTGACATACAGATAAGTGAGGCATATAGGACTCCAACTAGGCTTGATCAAAAAAAATCTACACATAGGTATATAATAGGATTCCAGAAACCCAACAGAAGAACAAAATTCTACAAGCAGTGAGAGAAAAGAAACAAATCACGTGCAAAGGAAAGCCCATCAGAATCATAGCAGACTTCTCAATGCAAACCCTCAAGGCAAGAAGAGCTTGGAGTGACACATTTCAAGCTCTAAAGGAAAACAGCCACCAACCCAGATTGATGTACCCTGCAAAACTATCTTTCAAAATTAATGGAGAAAAAAGATACTTTCATGATAAAGAGCACCTTAAGAACTTCGTGAATACCAAACCAGCACTCCAAAAAATATTAGACAATAACCTAGGAAAAGACAATGAGGATCACAACCTCAGGAAGCCCAGCAGAATGAATCCGTTGGGCATGACAAATTTAATGCAAAGGGGGAAAACCCAACAAAAAGAAAAAGTCATGACAAGGCTTTAAAAACTTTTAACTTCATCTCCCTAATGAGTATATAATTCAATCTTGTTATTGTGTATTATTCTGATTCTAGTATTGTACACGTTTCCTTGTGCTATACTGGCTATTTATCGTCTTCTTGCATCTACTTTTTAATTGGATTGTCTACTAATGAGCTGTAAGAATTCTTTATATATTCTGGTCAGAGCTTATATGCATTGTAAATATGGTCTGATTAAGGACTACTTTTCATTTTAATGATGTCATTTAAAGTTCTAAAGTTCATTTATCAATTTTTTTCTTTTAGTCATCATGTTTTTTGTGTCCTAGGAAGTTCTTGTCTACCCTAAATTCATAAACATTTTCCCTTACAATTTCTTCTTCAAGTTTTATACTTTTAGGCTTTCTTATTTAGGTTCATAGATCCCTTCAAGTTATTTTTATGTATGGAAATAAAGGGTTGAGGTTAATTTATTATATACGGATACCAGGTGTTTTAGTGCCATTTGCTGAAAACACTATCTTTTCCTCTGCTCTTAAATTGAGTTTATAGTCTATAAAATGCTAATGTTAAATAATCTTTCAAAACTCGGTGGACCATATATGTGTGGTTCTATTTCTAGTTCTAGATTCTCTGTTTTATTCCAATGATTTATATGTCTTTCTTTACCCCAACACTGCCTTGATTACTGTAGCTTTAGAGGAAGTCTTAAAATTAGGTACTAAACATCTTCCAACACTGTTTTTTTTTTTTCTTTCTTTTTCTTTTTACTTTCCTGGGTCCTTTCTACTCCTACATAACTTTTAAATTTCAATATCCATTTCTTCATTTATAGCAAGTATACATACCCCTGAATTTTTATATATACCTTGTGTTTTCTAATCCTGCTAAATTCAAGTACAAGTTCTAGGGGCTCGTAGAGATTTCTTAGTATTTTCTCTGTA